TATTCAGCCATGCAGAAGGTGCAGAGAAACACAGGACACCCTTTGCCCTCAGAAAGCTTTCTCTCTCACTGCAGAGACAAGCACTATTGCGTTTGAGAGACCGGAGACCGAGGTTATCCAGGGAACTTCTTCCATTAGACACAGCCTCTTCGGGAAACCTCCAGCAACCAAGAGCTTTCTACCTCACAAGGCAGACCATCCTAAAGCCAGCCACACTGTGGCAGTGAAGCTACTTCCTGAAATAAAAAAAATGCCTCCCTAATATGTACCCCCTACTCTCCCTTCGTTCTCCATTTAGAGGTAGTTACGCAAAAGACCCTTCTCCTGGCCACAGCCTCTCAAGTATTTGAAGAGAGTGCTCAAGTCTCACCTCTCCCCAACCTCAGTCTCTCCTTTCCAGTCTGGAAGGTGTAACAACTGAAGAATTATACGGGGCAATCCCAGAAGCTCATAAAATGAGACAGTTATGGGCTGGAGGTGTCAAGAGCAAGCATATTGGGCGCGATGGCTCATGCCTGTATTCCCAGAACTTTGGGAGGCCAAGGTAAGAGCCTGGGGGTTTGAAACCAGCCTAGGCAACATGGAGAGACTTCATCTCTGCAATAAATAAAAAAGATTAGCTGGGCATGGTGGTGCACACAGCCAAAAAAAAATGCAGTGGGCATCTTGCAGAAGGAGATTCTGTCCTGGGGCCTCTGAAGAAGTGGCATTCCAGAAGGGCGCACAACCCAAAGGATGACTTTGATGCCTGTTTGTTTTGTTCAGTAACCTTGCTTTTCCTTAATAGAAATTAATATATTTTCCTTTTCTTTCTTTCTTTTTTTTTTGAGTTGGAGTCTCACTCTGTCACCCAGACTGGAGTGCAGTGGCACGCTCCCAGCTACTGCAGCCTCGACCTGCTGGGCTCCGGCGATCCTTCCACCTCAGCCTTCCAAGTAGCCGGAACTACAGGTGTGCGCTACCATGCCTTGCTAATTTTTGATTTATTGTAGAGATGAGATTTCACCAAGTTGCTCGGGTGGGTCTCAAACCCACGGGTTCAGGCAATCCACTCACCTCGGCCTCCAAAAGTGCTGGAATTACAGGTTGAGCCACTGAACCTGGCCAGAAATTAATATATTTTCTATAAAAACTTTAGAAAATGCAGGTGAGCCGGGCTCGGTGGCTCAGCCTGTAATCCCGCGCCTTCGGGAGGCTGAGGTGAGTGGATTCCCTGAACCCACGGATTCGAGACCCGTCTGGGCAACTTGGCGAGACCTCATCTCTACAATAAATCAAAAAATCAGTCGGGTATGGTAGCGCATGTCTGTAATTCCAGCTACTTGGAAGGCTGAGGCGGAAGGATCGCCGGAGCCCAGCAGGTGAGGCTGTGGTGGCCGGGAGCGGTCACTGCACTCCAGTCTGGGCGACCGAGTGAGACTCCAACTCAAAAAAAAAAGAAAATGCAGGTGAGCAAAAAGAAGAAAATATAAATTACCTAAAATCCCACGATCATCCAGAGATACCTCCATTGGTGTGCACATGCATCCACCAGCACCTGTCTCTCTGTATGTGTAAGTGTGTGTTTCAGTCAGGCGCATACTGCACATAGTCTAGGTCATGCTGCTTTTTATTTAACAATATATGGTGAGTCTTTCACCAGGCCATGAAACATTTTTCTCCAGCATTATTTTGAAGGCTGCATTTGTCTTGCTTTGGGTGAACATACCATTCTTCATTTAACCAAACCCCTATTGCTTGGCATGGAGATTATTCTTAAGAAGAAAAAAAAACTATTAGAGATGAAGTCTGGGGCATGGTGACTCATGCCTATAATAGCACTTCCGGAGGTGGGAGGATCACTTGAGACCAGGAGTTTGAGACCAGCCTGGCAACACAGTGATTCTCCATCTCTATTCCAAATTAAAATTTATTTTTCTTTCCAAGTCAAACTGTATCCAGCTTTATTAAAGATACTTTTCATAAACAATCATGGTATTTCAGGCAGGACATGGGCAGACAATCTTTAACAGTATACAACAACTTTCAAACTCCCTTCTTTAATGGACTACCAAAATCAGAAAGCCACTATAAAAACCCAATGAAGTCTTCATTTGATGCTCTGAACAGGGAAGAAGTTTAGAGTGAGGGTTGACATTTCATATTTAGCATGTTGTTTGACAACTTTTCACAAGCCGACCCTGACTTTCAGGAAATGAAATGAAAATGACAGAATTTGTCTGAAGATCCACAATCTATAAACGAAAACTGCTGCTCTTATGAGGGGTGCCATCTCAGTGGCATCACTGACATACTGGTAACCAATTATTGGGGGTCAGTTCCCAACAGATGTCTGGGTTTAAGGGAGTTAAGTCTATGCTGAAGGCAGAAAGGGAGAAGAGGGCATAAAAAATGAATGTTTTTCCACACCCCAAGGTGTTTGTACCAAGGTGGCTATGTGTGTCAACGTCGGGGAATCCCTCCTCCGGAAGCCAAGAGGAAGTTTCTTAAAACTAGAAGGGAAAGGTGTTTTCCCCACATCAATTCAGCTTTGGAGACATTCTATTAGTGACATATGCCCTTTTCCCCAAAAACAACAATGAAGTGTTCTGTGTGCTAACAACATAGCTTAAAAAAAAAATTCTGCATTTTTATAAAACTTGATAAAAAATAGTATTTCAAACTGTACAGTCACCAGAAGTACACAGTTATCAAAAATGCACACACTTCACTTGGCATCTCCAGCACCTTCAGCTTTCTGTGCCTGGTCTGTTTTGGCATCTCCATTTTCTGCAGGTTTTTTCCCCTCCTTGCCAGCATTGGCTTTTCCCTTATTCCCTTTGGGTACCTTCTCTCCCTTCTTAGCTGGGGCCTTCTTAGGCTTGGGCTCTGGCTTTGGAGGGGCAGGTTTAGCCGACAACCTTGCAGATCTTCTCTGGGGTTCGTCCTTCACCTTGGCTTTATCTCCTTTAGCATCCCCTTCAGCCTTTCTCTTGGGCATGGTGGTGATGGCAGCAGAATTAAGGCTTTGGATGCAGGGATGTAGCGGCATGGGGCTTTGGTTGGTCCGGGGGTCATTCTTGCCTCTTCTTCTTTACACTACTCCCCAAATTAAAATTTTAAAAGCAATAAGATCTGGGTGTTCCCACATTCTTTAACAACCCAGGTGTCTTCCCGCCTGTTAATTCCTTCCTAACTATAGTATGCCCATTTCTTTCATCAAGTTCCTTCCTCCAGTGCGTCTGAGAGTCCCTGAGGAAGGCTTTCTTATGCACAGGACTGACAGGGCCACAGCTTGTCCTCTTGGCCAGCCACCTGAGTCCAGAGCTTTCCCCTCTCCCTTTGGGTCTCTTCCTGCATTTTGTAACCTGTTTCTCTGACTGTAATCTCCCCACAACCCCTTGTCATCAAAGACCTTGTGTCAATCACGGTCCATTCAACAGTGCAACAGTGCAGAAATTTCTTAAGTCTTTCAGTCCAAGGGACTTTAATACAATGGGTTTGGCTACCCAGTTGACCCAACCAGGACAGGGAGGCAGTCCAGACCTTCACCACAGCAGGAAGCTGCTCTGTCCTTCAAGCTAAAGGGAAAGATGGAAGTGCGGGGTAGGAAAGGCGTTAGAAGAGCCAGGAGCTGGCCACCTGACAGGAGCTGGGAGGTGGTGGGTGGGGCTGCCTGGCCAGAGGGCTGTCCAGCAGGAGTACAGCCCCATGGAGACGCAGCCATTGCTGGGGATGCCACTCAAAGCAGAGAAAGCCGGGGAGAAATGCCCTGACTTGACCTCTCCCCTACAACTTAACATTCCTCCAGGGGCTAAGCCTCTCTGGAAGCAGTTGACAAAGGAATCTGTGAAATGTAGTTTCCTGCAATTATAGGAAATGACTGGCACAGACCCTGCCTTAATTTCCCCAAATCACACCTTAGATGTGGCTGCTTTGTCAAACAAACTTTGGCAAAGACTCAGGGTTGATAGCAAATGATCGCAACTCAGAAAAGAAAAATGTACACATAGGTCTCTGAGTATCACAGCCCCAAAAATCCAAAGACCAACCCCTCCACAGACATCCTCATGGACCAGCTCTCCTGCTGGTGATTGCCATCGTGTGGTGGCCAAACTCTCCCAAGGGGCAGGGCCTTCTGATCACGTCCACCCTATCAGAATCCAGGCCGCGCCAACCTTCCCTGGGGCCCAGCAGGAAGGAGAAAACCATTGCCTAAACACCCATCCCTTCATTACCCGATAGGCATGGTGCTATAAGGCAGAATGACAGCTTGGGAGAGCTGCTCGAATCTTCATCGTCCTAAACCAAAAGCCTGTTCATGAATTTTGCCCCCATCTCTAGCACAGCAAGAAAAAAAGAAAATCCCTGGAAGTCTGAGATCCGTTTTTTCCTAACCTTTTGCAGCTCTCAGGCCCAAAGGCTCAAGGAAAAAGTACTTGGGCTTCCTCACCCTCAACAAACTCTCTGGGGACACAAGGACATGGGGCACAAGGAGGGGCCTCAGACGCCCTAGATCTCCTCCTGCCAAACGTTTTCTTTGCTGCCAGAAACAGTCTGAATTTGTCATTGTCGTTGTTGTTCCCTTGCTCAGTTATTTTTCTCAAGGTAAATCCCTAGGAATAGAATTATTGGGGTAAAAGATATGTGTGTGGTGCAGGTTTTTGATCCATAGTGCCAAATTGCTCTTTAATAAAGCTGCCTTATCGCCAGTAATCCAAACCTTTTCTGCTTCGCAGCTCCCTGATAAACCCCTAAAGAGTCTTGGGTTGAATCAGCTACCAGACCAGATAAACAAGCTAGCCTGTCACTGCTGCAGTTTTCTGCAGCTCAGAAGGGAACTCCCTTGGATCCCGCCCAGAATCTGGAATTCCAGAGCACACAGGCCAGGTACCTTTGTACCCCTACTCCCTACCAGCTCAGGTCTGACCCTCCCCTGTTTTCCACGCCCTGTGCCTGGGTGGAGCCAGCTGCCAGGGCGGCAAGACTCCCAGTCCTCCCCCTGTGCCCGACCCAGAGTGGAGGCCAAGAGAGAGCCCTGCGTGGGGCCCAATGAGGACACTGCTGACCATCCTGGCTGTGGGATCCCTGGCTGGTGAGTACCCCCCGCCTCCAGGACCAAGAATCAGGGCTGTCTCCCAGGCACCCTCCCCAGCCCCAGCATACCCAGTTTCAGTTTCTTCCCTGCTGGGACTGAACTGGATGCTGGTTTTCCTGGAGAAGCAAATGCCCAGTTGAGGTTGCAGGAGAGGATGAGAGGGTGCCTCAGACCCCGGGTTCTCCTGGGAACCCAAGTGATCCTCAGGGCTGTGGGGACGTAACCAGCTGTCTGAACTGGTGTGCTGAATTCCTGCACCCCAATGAATAGAGAATTGGCCAGAGGGAGTTGGACATCTCTGATCCCCTCAAATCATTCTAGCAGAAGTTGTGACCTCCGTCTCTCTGCCTGTGCCTGGCACTGGCCTGACAAGTGAGGTAGAGGAGGGACAGGGTGGACCAAGCTTGAGTTCAGCCACTGCCTCTCTCCATGCCCCTGGGGGGCCTCTTCTGGACCCTCTTGCTAGATCTGAAAGAGCATTTTCCACCAGAGTGGCCAGTGCGTCTGCAACACCAAGAGGACACCAGGGCCCTCTTGGAAACAGGACTAAAGGGTATACCTTTCAAATCCAATGGAGGGGGGCTTGGAATTTATTATGGAACATGTCACACAAGACCTTAGACTGTGTCTCTGCTCTCCTGAGATGTGTGAAATTCAGGGAACTTTATCAGGAAGCCAAAGCATAGTCCTGATGAAGAGGGTGGGAAGAAGGGCCTCTGAACGGCCCATGAAGGGGCAGAGTGGCCCTGTCCCCTCCACTGCTATCCCCTGGGGCTGGCTTTGTCCCCAGAGTGTCCATCTCTGCCCGGCCCCTCCAGTCTTCTCTCCCCTGTTATCAGGCAGGGCATTCCCCACACTCTGGGCCTGCGATGGGCTAGGGGATTTGAGGCGCCCCCAAGAGGCCCTGAGACATGTTCCTGTAGATCCCAGCCATACTGGGCAGAAGTCCTCAAGGCTCCTGGTCATTTGATACGGGGGACCTGTGGGAAACCACCCCTAGGAGTGGTCGAGGGCAGTGGCCGCGCCCTGTGGCCCCTGTCCCTCCCCGCAACAATCCTAGGCTGATTCTGGAGCATGTGGAATTCATTTTTGTTTGTGTGTTTTTCCTTAGCGCCCCAGCTGGTGGATAGAACATTGTTTCTCCACCAAATGTGAAAAAAACAACTTGCCTTTTATAAGTCTGCCAGGCTGCACTCAACTCATGTCTCCCAGGATTTCACAACAGACTTTCACCCGGGAAATGCAGAAACGACCCAGGCAGAGGAATAGGTGGTGGATTTGAGGAGGAAAAGGAGTAGAGGAGGAAAAGAGGGGTGACCTGTTTGGCTCCTGACACCCCTAAAAGGAAGAGGTGGGCCAAGGCCCGATCGCCCACTTCCGGAAGTCAAGTTCCGTTCCCTCCTGAAATGTGGTGCCAACAGCACTCAGTCCTTTGCCAGGCTACACGCTCCCCGCCTCAGCCACCAGCCCCTCCTTCCGCAGCCCAGAGAGTGACCCCAACCAGCATCCACTGCAAACTCTACCCCACCCCCACACATACCATGGCCTTCTCTCCAATCTCCCCTTCTCTCTCCTGCCTTGACACCCCACCCCACCAGAAGCCACTATTCAGCTCTGACCTCAACTGGACCCCCTTTCTCAACTTTAGACCCAGCCCTGACTCCGGGACCCCTCCCTCCAGACTGACCCAAATTCCACCCATTTCCACGTCCCGATGCTATCAGCCACACCTTGGGGCACGGCAGCACAGCCGTCACACTGTGTCGGGGCAGCGGCACACCCCCAATACCATCATCAAGGCCCCATTCCAGGGACCCCAGGAGCTTGAAGACAGAAAGCTTTGCAGTTGCTGGGCCAGAACAGCCCAGTTCAGAGAGGAGGGTAGCCTTCGGTTTAGCCAGTGGATAAGCAGCAGGGTTGGTGCCGCTTCCCAAGCCTGTAGACCCCTCTCGCAGAAATACTGGGCGTAGATGTGGAGTGAGGGAATAAATAACCGTCCCCTCTCTCCCACTTTGGGCCTGCTGATGGCCATGGTTATGTTCAGGGGAGGAGATGCACGTACACGTCAAAGACACATCCACGCAGGCCTGGAGGCCCTGACCCAGCTGTCTGCACCCGTTTCTTTCCCATGTCGGCCAGCCAGGCCCTCAGAGCTCAGAGACGGCTGCCAGCTCTGGTCGCCATCTTCTCACACCCTCTCCCTATCCACAGCCTGAGCCTGGAGGGCTGAGGGAGAAGTTCTGTAAATCAAGGGCTCTTCGCTGACAGCGAGATTGCTTCAGAGGCAATGGTCTCCCCATTCCCCCTGGCAGCTCAGGCCTTTGCTGATGGTTTCTTGCCATAGGCAGAAGTGGGCTGGACAGAGCCCTAGGCAGGATGGGAAGGCTGTGAACTCATGAGGTCATCTCTTCTCTTTCCTTCCAACCTCCCTAAACCGGTCCCTTTATCAGGGCTCAGGGCCCCTGAAGCCTCCTACCCCCATAAACAGGATGAACAGGACAGCCCCTCCTCAGTACAGTGACTCCCCTGCTTCCCAGGCCTCCTCCCCTCAGACCCAACATATTTATATGAAGACCTATTAAGTGCCAAATGCGTTCACAGATGTTGCCCATGGTACCTGCCCCACAACCAGTCTAGCCCTGTGATGAGGACTACAGACTCTGTCACATGCCAGCTGTGACACTGGGTAACAACCCTCACAGGGCTTCAGCTTTGCTCATCCATCAGATAGGCATAGTGACAGTAACCATCGCATCAGGTCGTCATGAGCATTAAGAAAATAATCCTTACTTCCTTAAATCTTTACATCCTTCTTTGCCTGTAAGAGGTCACGCACCTCATAACTGTCAGCTGCTACTGTTGTCATTGTTATTTGTCTTCAGGCAATCAAATCATTCCCACTTTAGAGGTGAGGAAATTGGGATTAAAATTGCTTTAACAACTTCCCCCAAGGTTATCCTGCCCCACTTCAAAGTTTCTATGAGGTGATTTAGCCTAAGAAGCCAATTTGGCGGGTGGGCAGAGGTTGCCTCGGCCAGCAGAGAAACCAGAATGCACAAACACCTCCTCCTCCACTGTTTGAAATGATTGACTTTGGGCAAGTTACTTCTTAGACACTTTGGTTGAATATCTCTGAAGTAGGTATAAGGACACTAAGCTCAGATAGTGTGGAAAAGTTAATGAGAGACAATACCCAGTACTGACCCCTCAAACACTGCTGGTGGGCATTCAAGATGCAGCAGCCGCCTTGGAAAACAGTTTGACAGTTCCTCAGAATGTCAAACATAGAGTTACCATATGACCCAGAACTTCCAAGAGCACTGAAAAGACATGTCCACTTAAAAGACTTCGGGGCCCCTGAAGCCCCCTACCCCTATAAACAGGATGAACAGGACAGCCCCTCCTCAGTACAGTGACTCCCCTGCTTCCCAGGCCTCCTCCCCTCAGACCCAACATTGTATACAATGTTCACAGCAGGATTATTCAGAAAAAACCCAAATGTCCATTAATGGGAAATATTCATGCTATAGAATACTATTCAGCCATAAAAAAGGAAGTAGGTACTGATTCAATCAACACTATGGATGAACCTTGAAAGCATTATGATAAGTGAAAGAAACCAGACATAGAAAGAAGCCAAGACTCTATTTGTATTAAAAGTCTAGAATAGGCAAATCCATAGAGACAGCAAATAGATTCCTGGTTGCCAGGGGCTGAGGTTGGGAGGGAGAAATGGGGAGTAACTGTTAATGGGTATACAGTTTCTTTTGGGGGTGATGAGAATGTTCTGGAATTAGACAGTAGTGATGGTTGCAGAACACTGTGAATATACTAGAAAACTACTGGACAGAACTATAACATGGTGAATTCTGGAATGGGAATGATAACTTGACACAAAGACAGGAAGTGAATAAGAACAGTGGCTGGCCAGACAGCACTATCTGGGGAGTGTGACCCCTCCCCGGCCCATTTATGGAAGGCTGGGAGCTGGGGTCTCCGAGCCCCTCTGCTCACCCTGCTCCCACCCTCCTGCAGCTCACATTGCCGAGGACAACTCAGATCTTCTTCAGCACGTGAAATTCCAGTCCAGCAACTTCGAAAACATCCTGACGTGGGACAGCAGGCTGGAGGACACCTCAGGCATGGTCTACAGCATCGAGTATAAGATGTAGGCTTCTCTCCCAAGCCCATATTCTTTGCCTCTGCTCCTAAACCAACCCCTCTGAGAAATTCCTCCCACTCCATATGTCCCCATGCTCCCCCCCAGAATTGGTGTCACACAGTCCCTCCCAGATAAAGCTTTGCTCCTTTATGTTTCTTTTGCAGAGGGAGGATAAAATAATGACTTAAAGGACAGGCTCTGGAGTTTGACCGCCTGGGCTTGAATGTCAGTTCTCACCTGCACACGCGTGGGCAGTCCAATGCCCTCTATCCACAAAGTGATGCTCGTGATAGTACTTTCATCATAGGGTTGTCAGGTGGATTAAACAAGATAAGGAAAGTCATCATGGCTGGGCATGGTGCCTGTAATCCCAGCACTTTGGGAGGCGGAGGCAGGAGGATTGCTTGAGCCCAGGAGTTTAAGACCAGCCTGGGCAACATAGCGAGACTTTGTCTCTATTTGAAAAATAATAAAAAGTTAAAATAAAGCCATTAGCACCGGTGTCTGGAAAATAATTAGTTACCCATAATTGTTTTATTATCACTGGCAAGACTAGGTCAACCAAAAGGTAAATCCAGCCCTGCAGTCCATGCCCCTGTTCCTGCCCTTGCCCTCCCATGCAGGTAAGGAGGGACGGCACGAGCTCAGGAGCCCACAAATACGTGTTCCACTTTTGGTTGGTCCATGTTGTCCTGTGGCAGGTCACATTCCTCTCTGAGCCTCAGCTCCCTCACCTGTAAAATGAAGATGGCAGGCTCTGCCTCAAAGAGCGATAAAGAGCCCATATGGAGATCCAGGCTGGCCAGGTTCAAATCCTGCCTCCCCACATGCATGCTCCAAACTCGGGCATGTTTTCCTTCTTTGCGCCTCATCTTCCTGATTTGAAAACGAGGGAGAAGAGTGCTCACACCTCCCAGGATCGTTGTGAGAACTACATGAGATCATTCATATAAGGGCCTGGTCACTGAACGTGCTGAGTCAATATCCAGTTTCCCTGTCAGGATTAATAAGCCACAGGCCTAGTGCCGCTGCTCATCACAGTGGTGCCTGGCCCTTCCCTTGCCACAGGTATGGGGAGGCAGAGTGGTTGGCAAAGGAGGGCTGCCAGCGGATCACCCAGAAGTCCTGCGACCTGACAGCAGAGACGGGCAACTACATGGAGTTCTACTATGCCAGGGTCATTGCCGTCAGCGCGGGAGGCCGCTCGGCCACCAAGATGACTGATAGGTTCAACCCAATTCGACACAGTGAGTAGGATTCCCTATGGGCTTCGGAAGAGAGGCACGTCCAGGTGTTTGGAGTAGGGGGAGCACGCTTTCCCTCCAGAGTGGGTGGAGGGCTCCGAGTGGGGGAGGGGTTGTTTGGGATGTGGCTTTCAGAGAAGGAGACCCCACCCCAACCAGAGCAGTGGGTCTGGTCATGTTTCTCCACCTCCATCCCAACCCCCTCATTGGAACCACCCACATCTCACCCCTCAACTGCAGCCAGGGCTTCCAAACTCATCCTTCCCCAACCCCCGACAGCGTCTCATGACTTTTTTTTTGAGTCGGAGTTTCACTCTGTCGCCCAGGCTGGAGTGCAGTGGCATGCTCACAGCCATCACAGCCTCGACTTGCTGGGCTCAGGTGATCCTTCTGCCTCAGCCCTCCAAGTAGCTGGAACTATAGGCACATGCCACCAAGCCTGGCTAATTTTTTGATTTCTTGTAGAGACGAGGTCTCGCCAAGTTGCCCAGACTGGCCTTGAACCCCTGGGCACAGGCAATCCTCTTGCCTCCGCCTCTGAATGTGCTAGGCTTACAGGTGTGAGCCATCGTGCCGGGCCCTCTCAGGGCTCTTAAAATAAGATCCAGCTCCTTGCTTTGGCCTACGAGGCCCTGCCTGTCTCAGCCCTCATCTCCCCCTGCTCCCCAACCCGCACTCTGGCTCTAATAGCTCCTGCCTCAGGCCCTTGCTTCTCCCTCCATCTGGGGGCTCCTTCCGGCTGCTCCCATGACAGGCTCTTCTCCAGTCCTGGGGTTCAGCTTCAGCATCTCACTTTTCTTTTGACCTTGCATTATATGATCTAAGTTCCGTCTTCCTGATTCCAGAATGTACATTCCTTGAAGGAAAGGATTATGGCTACTTCAGTTTTGCATCCATCACAGTGCACAACATGGTACACCATCGGAACTGAACAAATGTCTCTTGAATGGAAAACCAGAGGGCATGCCTCCTTGATATGACACAAGGTCTAATTACATAGTTATTACTCTCAGCCTGCAATAAAACACACGTTTTGTTATGGAGAAGAAATTCCTCTGCATAATAATAATATACTTGCATGCCTACTACCTTTATTTCAAAATGCCTCTAAGTGTCCCCACCCCAGCCCTGACTACCTGATTGTAGGAGGCCACTGCCTATGATTCTCTACCGAAACATCGTTCGTTGCTTCACACTCTGCAATTTCTCAGATCACACTCAGATCACACTCCGCCATTTCTGTGTTTGCTTGCACGTGTATCAAATGCCTCCCCCTCTAATATGTGAGGCCCATGGCAGCGTCTGTGGGCCGTGGAATCCACTGTGTTCCCAGCCCTTAGCAGAGTGCCTGTCACTTAAGATGCCAATGCATGATTGATGGTTGAACGAATGGATGGATATGAGATGTCAAACTCCCCACACAAGCTAACTAGGTGGCAATGTCCACCAACTGACTTTACAGTCACACATGCTTTTCTAAGGAAATATAAAATAAAATTAAATAAATTATTGGGTTTTAAAAAAAATCCTGACATTCAAATAATCCATGTTCATTGTAGAAAATTTGAAAAATATAGAACATGCAAAGAAAAATAAAAGTTGCCCCAAGTAACCTCGACAGTCAAGCACAACGACAGTTACTAGAAACAGGGTCGGTTTTGTAATTTGGTGATTATTTTTGTTTTGCTTTGTTTTTTTGGGTTTTTTTGGTTTGGGTTTCTTTTCCCCATAGAATGGTATCATGAACATCTGACCATGTCATTAAATATTTTTTCACAACACGATATTTCAAGCTGCAGAATGATCCGTTCCACAGAGGTACTCCAATTTACTTTAACCCAGCTCCCTTTTTGAGGTCACTTAGCTCAGTTTTTCAGTTTTATAAGCAGCACTGAAGTGAACACTGTTCCGGCTCAGATATTTTAAATCTTGGGGGTCAATGGATCCTTGAGGGATTTTAATAAATTAGACTCAGGGCAAGTGGAGTCTACAAATCTCTGAATTGAACGCAAGATATTATATATAGGCACATCTTGGGGGAGAGAAGAGCCACAGCATTCATCAAATTCTCAAAGGCATCTGTAAACCAGTAAAGGTCCCTTGGTTGTTTGGAAAATTCCATCTGGAGAGAGACTAAAGTCAGGCCTGATCTTTGAGGCTGCATCAATAGTATTAAGTCCCCAAAACGTGAGTCTGGGAACATAGTTGAATCATCAGTCCTTAACAGCCTCAAAGCTGTCATAGCCAATAGACTAGAGAGGAAAGGTATTCCGGGCCGACTCGATGGGGAGTCGCAGGGGCTGAGGTGTGTGGGAGTGGGACAAGGGTATGACCAGCCTAGGGGGCCGGTGCCCTCGGCCTGGGTTCTTCTCATTCACCCTTGGCCAGCCCCTTGACAGCCTTAAACCCAAACACCTGCTGCCTGCAGAACTCCTCTCTGTTCACTGTTGATTTGGCTGAAACTTTTGGAAGCACAGCTGGGGTTAGAGAGGGAGGAGGGGAAGCCCTCACTTCCCATCGTCCAGGGCAGCCTGACACTCTCCGGCAATCCTGACGTTTTTTCTTTTTCCCTTTTCCAGCTACCATCAAACCACCTGAGGTGACCTGTATCCCCAAAGTGAGATCCATTCAGATGATTGTCCATCCTACCCCCACACCCATCCATGCAAGGGACGGCCACCGGCTAACTCTGGAGGATATCTATGACCTGTCCTACTGCTTAGAGCTCCACGTCAATGACACCTACCAAATGGTAACTGTATGTTTTACCCTGGTCCTCCCTGCCTGGGGAACCCCGTCCCTCTCCATAAGATCTACATTGCTTTAAGTAGAAAGTGGACATGTTAGCCAGGCTCGGTGGCTCAGCCTGTAATCCCGCACTTTGGGAGGCTGAGGTGAGTGGATTGCCTGAGCCCGCAGGTTCGAGACCCGCCTGGGCAACTTGGCGAGACCTCATCTCTACAATAAATCAAAAATCAGCCAGGCGTGGTAGCGCGCGCCTGTAGTTCCAGCTACTTGAAAGGCTGAGGCAGAAGGATCGCTGGAGCCCAGCAGGTTGAGGCTGCGGTGGCCGGGAGCGGCCACTGCACTCCAGTCTGGGCAACAGAGTGAGACTCCAACTCAAAAAAAAAAAAAAAAAAAGGGGACATGTTAGATAAATTAGTATTTCCCGAATCATGTCCCTTGGGAGGCTCCTTGAAGCCTGGACAAACATGAATGGCAAGCTCTATCTTATAGAGAGGTTCTTGTAGAGCATACTAAAGTCTCTGACAAGTCCTGCAGAGCCAAGAACCCAACATCAATTTATTTACTACAACATTGCTCACATTTATTTAACCAGAGAAACTTTTTTATTTTGCAAACTATAACTTTTTTTTTTTTTGGTTTAATACCATCTCACATACTGGGGAACAACTATTACCGTCCTCAGGTGTTCACTTTGGAAAACACTAGTATTAATGTCTACTGCTGCAGTTCTTTTTGCTGGTTCTCCACTTTTGCGGGAACTACACATAGGTGATGTCTTTAGATCAGTAATAATAAAAGGTGGAAAGCAAAGGCATCAATTGTCAAATTGTATACACACTTCTTTTTGTATTCAGAAAATATGTGGTATTTCCCCCTTAGCATGTGCCATGAATCCATAATTAGTTGAATGAACATTCATTTCCTACTTTGTGGTTTCCACACTCAAGGAGATTATAACCCAGGGAGTGGGGAGGGAGTTAAAACAAGAATTTAAATAGCTGTAGACAGAGGAAAACGTGGGCAAGATGTCAGCTCAGCAATGGCAGAGACTGAACATAACAGGGCCTGAGCCAGCATGGAGGCTGCAAGAGACCTGGGAGGAAGGCGTCTTGGACACTTGACAACTTTCCTGGAGTTGTGTCCTGTGAGATTTAATGTGTGCGACTTCAACCACACGAGTTCCACAAAACAACACGTTGAAAAATTTATGTAGGTACTTCTTCCCCCACTTTTGCCCCTTCACCGCCCCCACCAAAAACCCCAAATTCCTCTAAACCTTGGTCTCCATGTGCCCAGAAAAGGGAAGAAAGATCTGAAACCCAAAGAGCCAAAGGAAAAAATTTCTTGGCTTTTGAACTCCCAGTAATACAGATCCTGGCCCTTTAAAGGAAGACTTATGGATCACGTAAGGGCAATTGGACCCAAAGGGTATGAGGGGGTTTGTCCAAAATGGCACTGAGCTTTGGGCCTTGGATATTAGAAAGAGAACAATGATATTTGCAAAATCAGAGGGTCAAAATGGGTGAGGATGTGGGTCTGGGACGGGGCAGGCCCCACAGAGAGGAGGAGGTCAGCACGTCTGGACGTGCTGCATTAGAGATGTTCACAGAGTGCCATCCAGCAGGGAGCTGGCCGTGCCCGTCAGAAGCTCCGTGTCTCTTCCTGTTAAGGTTGGGTGTTACCCACCCACTGGTGATCCCCGGAGCTGTGGGTTCAGATAAGATTAAGCGATGGAGAAGATGTGAGAGGGAAGAGCACATCTCGCAGGACAACAAAACTGAGGGGGGCCAGCACCAGCAAAAGAGCCACCAGAGAGGCAGGAGCAGAGCCAGAAGGGTGGCGTGGCCGTCAAGAGGGAGGAGTTCAAGGTCAAAGAGGTGAGAGACACACAAGAGGGCAAGAAACACAGTTCCAACAGAAGGACCAGCAGATACAAAGATACAAGGGCTTGCTTCAGCAAGCCAGGTGTTTACCCGAGCCACAGGTGGGCAGCATTGCAGAGCCTGAAAAGCCAGGTGGGCTGCAGAGAGACAGGTCTGGACAGGGGGCCGGGACCAGGATGCTATCCTGAGTAGGGAGCATCATAATTCAATTATCTTTTAGAAAGATCTCTGTGGCACCAGATGAACATAGAAATGCAAATGCAGAAAAACGTGACTACTGTAAGAGTCCAGGCTAAAACAGCTCAAGGCCCAGTTAGGACAGAAGCCATGATGAAGGCCAGAAAGATGGATACTCAAAGGATTTTTTATGTCTAATAAAGAAAAAGAAGGAGAAGGAAGAGGAGGAGACCTGGAAGGAGGAGGGAGAATGGTAGGGTGGTGGTGGTCATAATGGCGGCAGCTACGGGCCAGACACTGTTCTCAGTGAAAGGCAGCTCAGCTGGGCAACAGATTGGATCTGGGGACCAAGCAGAGGGGAGAGGAATGGGTCCCGGGAGCTGCAGACAGACCCTCCCTCCAGCTTCTGGCCTGAGGTGCTGGTGGCACCATCTTACTAAGTGGCCTCACCCAGGAGGAGGAGTGAGCAGACTCGCTTGGGCGCCCTATGGAGATTTGGTATGTGAGAGGATTGGTGGCTTCTCTATCAAACACAGCACCTTGGAGGGAAGCAGAGAGAATACGAGTTCTTCAGCCTGACCCCCGACACGGAGTTCCTCGGGACTATCACGATGGATGCGCATCAGCTGTCCAAGCAGAGTGCCCCCTACGTGTGCCGAGTGAAGACACTGCCAGGTGAGATGCCGCGTCCAAGGCTTGACTTCCTCTTTCCTCCTGTCACCAAGGTGAGGATTGGCCACACTCCAAAGCACCACGGAAGGTCATTTGTGTATTATTAAGGCCAATCTTTGTTTGTCCATAACAGAGCAAGCGGATGCGTTATCACAGCACATGCTTAATTCCCACCTTCCAACCTCTCTCTGAACTTCCTCTCTCTCCCAGGCTTTGTGTGTACTCTGGCAAAGCAAACTCGCCTCAATATTAACCCAGGTGAGATATGCCGGGGGAACATCTGCAGGGGGAAGGCAGGGAAGATTACAAGGTCCCTCAATATCTTCCAGAGTCAAATAATAATAATGGTGATCACGTTAGCTAGCATTTCTGCAACACTAACCGAGGGCCAGACACTATGAAGTGCAGTCTATGAAGCAGATACTGTTATCATCCTCACGTACAGATGAGGAACCTGAGGTTCAGAGTGGTTAAGTAACTTGCCCAGGGTCGCACAGGTGCTGAGGGACGGAAGGAAGCCTAATTCTGGAGATTATGTTCTCACCACTGCACGACACTAGAAATAGTTTTGAGTCATCTGCTCAGCGAGATGGTTCCTTCCTCTAGGACACTGAAACTCGACTCTCCTCACAAGCATCTTGATATTTTTATTAGGGCTTGTTTCCATAGACAGATAGAAATGCTATGATGCTCAGAGCTGCGAGTTTAGAGGATGAAGTGACGGTGGTGGATTAGATGGGTTGGGAAAAGCAGTCTCTACTTTAGTCACCATGCTCAGATCAATGATGTCAGCAGGTGAATCCGGCTCCGCCGCTTCAACACTTAGAACAGTAGTCTGAGAGCAGAACTTGGTGCAGGTGCAGTGGAAAGGGAAGTGCCGCATGAGGCCTAGCCAGGCACGGTTGTCACACGTCAGCTTGCTGTGTGCCCTGGAGAGTCACTCAGCCTCGGGGGGCCTGACCCCTCATCTGACAAGTGGGGGTGCTGATGTCGGGGCAGCAGGTTAAACAGAGGCAAGACAGTACCTGAGGCTGGGCCCAGGAACCGTTGGGCTCTGGGTCTCAGCCTTGTTCAGAAACTCAGCTCATGAGTTTCCCCGAGAGCCTGCGAGAGACTGATTCCTCCATCCGGATCCCAGTACCTTCATCGCAGGAGAGCTGTGCCTTGTGGAGCAGCCAGTGCTTGCCACTTACACGGGGCATGTCCTTCCTGGGGTAAGGGCCACTGGGAAACCAGAACAGAATCTGGCCAGAGGAGAACTAGGAAAAGGAGCCCGCCTTTATGGGCTTGTGCCGGGGGTGTATATGTGATGGATGACCCTCTCCCTGGGGCTGTCTAGACAAATCTTGCCGTTCCTGGCCCGTCCCTGGCACCATCTGCTTTTTGACAATTGCAGATCCCACCCTTATCTACAGCACCCTTCTGCTGGCTTGGCTTTACGTTATCTCACGCATGATGTGATGTCATTTTTTTCTAAGACCCAGCTGCTTGAGTCTAAGTCACACTCCTTGGTGGCTACTTCTTGCGGACATATAGGAGGCGCCTTACCCTTAACACTAACATATACTAAGAGCTGTTCCTACCATGTGTTAAGTACTACTAGATTGCCAAGCAAATAGTTATGGCAAATGTTTTAAGTGCATTATTTAATATTTATTATTATATATTATGTATATTATTTGAGCTTTAAGGCAGTGCTGCAAGTTGTGCAATATCATCCCCATTTTAGAGGAGAAACTCTTCCTCAGAGAGGTTAAGCAACTTGCCCATGACCACACAGCTGGTCAGTGAACCTGGTTGGGAGCATATGATTCTGAAGCCTGGGCTCTGACCCACCCCCCTTGCAATTTGGTTTATAGCAAGTTCTGTCTGCTGCTTGCTTACTCCTCTTACTTCCACTTCAGAGTGATATATCCTGCCCTTGACCATGTGTCCTGAAGTCTGCCTTACCCCCAGAATCTCCACTTATCTACCTCTCAGTGGATAAACCGGAGGGTTACAGCGCATTGTCCCAGCATTCTGATGCTGGAAAGGGATCTGGGGGTCATCTAACCTCATATGGTAGTTTTACAGATGAGGAAACTGAGGCATCATTGTGTGGGGATGAGCTGTGAGGATGAGTTTTGGACTTATACCTGTCAATCCTGGCTTCTCTCCGGAGTAGCTGGGTGACTTTGGCCCAATCACTTAACCTCTCTGGGACTCAACTATTTTATCTGTAGGAAGGGAGTATCCCTATCCTTCTGTGTTGCTTTGCTTTGGTGGGTTAACAGAAGGAGAGCACCCAGCACAGTACATGAGTTCAATAATGGCTGGCTACCGTTATTAATAAAGGGTTGACCACAGAGAGTCGTGCAGCAGGAAGGAGGCTCAGTATATCTGTGGCTGAGTCAGATCTCCAGTCCATCCTGCCTCCCCATGGGTGAAATGGCATATGGGAAATGTATCAAGCCAGAGAATGTTCCAGGTTCCTGTCCTGATACAAGGAGCAGCAGCTATCCAGGAATGTTAGACATTCAGGTCATGTCTTCTCCCTGGAGCTGTGATGCGGCGTGAGGAGACGAGGTATTCCTGGAGTGGGAAGCTGACCCAGAGAGGCCTGAGCTCGTGGGCCGGGTTGGAGCAAGGACAGGCTGGGATAGAGGTTCCGGGGGCCCCAGCGCTCACAGCTACAGCTGAGGTCATTGGAGCAGATGATTAACCCTCCAGGCTGAAGTCACATAGGGACCAGGAACAGAGGGAGGGCGACTTGGAGAGTCAAGACCCCCAGACAATGCAAACTGTAGGTTTTACCAAAAACTCCAGTTTTTGAGCCCTCCTCCTCAACCCCCTCACAAGTCCCACTTGAACTGGTGACAGGAAGTGTGTCAAGCCCACAGCAGCCACGCCCATCCTAAAGGTGCTGGAACATAGGGAGAAGGCGCAGGCACTAGGGCCCCTCCTTGCCCCTCTCTTTCCCTTTTAGAAAGGGCAACACCTGCCCAGGCTCCCTCCTGAGCAACATGTTCCCTTACCTTGAACTCAATCCCTTACCTTGAACTCAGTCCTGAATTCAGTCCCTTACCTTGATAGGGAGGCAGAGAGGACAGGCCAACTCCCCCCACCCCCACCCCCACCAACTTCTGCCTCTGCCCCCTGCCAGGGAGGCAGGACTTCCCTTAGACCCAAGTGAGAGGGGCACTTCCCTGCACCCTGCACTTTAGAGGGCCCTGCCATGGCCATGCCCCTCCCGGCAAGATGAAGGCTCCACACAGGTGCACCCTCTGGTCTCCTTTCTAGACCACATCCTGAGTTCCTGGGCTCCTGAAGCTCCCCGGACATATGGCCGCATGCCTGTGTTCTGTCTAGACAGACCTCTTCTTTAGATCCTTCCTGGTGAGGGCAGACACTCTGCTGATGTGCAGACTGTTAGCCCAAAGGGTGACCCACAGTCTGTTTATGGGGAGCATGAGTGGACTTGGCCATGTGGGCTGAGGATTTATAAGCACATGCACGAGGCAGTGCTGGATGGATCCAGGCTGGGCTGGGGATGATAGGTTTTCCCTGCCCCTCCCCCAAGGAGTCCAAAAATTCTGAATTCACATGTGGCATTCCAGGTGGTTGTGAAAAGTCTATTTGTCAAGGAAGGAACATAGGACATATTTTATTTAACGGTGTGAAACATTATTTATAATTCCAACTGTACTAGCCTGGGCAACATAGTGAGACTCCGTCTCTACAAAAAATAGAAAAATTAGCTGGATGTGATGGCGTGTGCCCATGGTCCCCGCAACTTGGGAGACTGAGGTGGAAGGATCACCTGAGCCCAGGAGGTCAAGGCTGCGGTGATCTTTGATGGGCCACTGCATTCCAGCCTGGGAGACAGAGTAAGACCCTGGCAAAAAAAAAAAAAAAATCCAACTATTTAGATGCATAGTCTGTGGATGTCCATTTATGGTCCTGCCCCAGCCCTGTGGACACTGCAGGTAGACAAAGCCCGCCCCCCAAGCCCAGCCTGAGAAGGTTTGCAGTGTCCACAGGAGGGATGGGCCCAGGCCAGATCCCAGGCTCACGCTTCCCTCTTTGGCACCTTTACTCCCCAGATCGGACGTGGACCTACTCCTTCTCGGGCGTTCTCCTGTTCTCCATGGGCTTCCTCGTTGCGGTGCTCTGCTATCTGAGCTACAGATATGTCACCAAGCCACCTGTGCCTCCCAACTCCCTGGTGAGCCACCCCCAGCCCCAGGACAGTGGGGAGAGTCCCAGGGGAGGCCCCAAGAGCAGCAGCAGTCACAGGCCCAGAGCTCTGGATCCTCCCCAAAGTGCAGGGATGCACACACTAAGCAGAGGAGGCCTGCTTCCTGCCGGTGTGGTGCTCACTGTCCAACCTAAAGGCAACAGACATGTGACAGGCAGGTCTTGGAGCATACCCGAGAGGGATAGGTGATCAGGATTAGTGGACATGGGACAGAAAACCCAGGGCCAGTGGGTAGTGGAGGACTCACGTGACAGCATGGGAAGGAGCATGGACGGGCACTGGGAAGTTGTGGAACTCACGTCCCGTCTCTGTGGGCAACCAGCATCACCACGTGGGAACACAGGCCCAGTATTTTCAAGAGGAGTCAGGGGTTCAGACTATAAATGGAATCTCCGAATTTTCAAATACTGGCAACTAATCCTTAAAATGGAAAGCCCTCCGCAAGCCACACAAATCCCATCAACAGCCTCCATCTGACTGCCGGTGCTGCAGAACCCACTGCAGAGGCCCCGGGAGCCATCTGGGGCGCCTGGAGTGCGTCCCCACCCATCTGAGGGACAGAGGAGCTCTGAGAGCCTTTTGTTCTGTGTCTAAGTCCAGACAGACCAATTCTGTGAGACTCTCCCAGCCTCCTCTGGCTCCCCACCCCTTCCCACCGTGCCCCTTCTTCAGACCCTGGGGACCCATGAGCCAAGCAGCAATGCAGGCCACCACCTTGAGAGCACATCCCGAGGCAGCCCCACATCTGGGACATCCACTCATTGGATTACCGGCCTCCTAGGCCTTTCTCTCTGAATGACCCAGACTTTAGACCCAGAGAGCTGAGGGCCCCAGTCCCTTTACAGAGGCACTTGCGTTCAAGGACTCTCTGGGAAGCAGTGGGGAGGGGGTGTATGCAACTTGGCAGAGTCCCCCAGATGACTCCCTTGGGGGAGCTCACCCACCTGCACCCCCACCCGGGAGCCGAGAGCATGTCCTAACCAGGTGCACTGTTGTCCCCACACAGAATGTTCAGCGAGTACTGACGTTCCAGCCACTGCGCTTCATCCAGGAGCACGTCCTGATCCCCATCTTTGACCTCAGCAGCTCCAGCAGTCTGGCCCAGCCCGTCCAGTATTCCCAGGTCAAGGTGTCCAGGACCAGGGAGCCCCCAGGAGCTCCACAGCAGCACAGCCTGTCTGAGATCACCTACTTAAGGCAGCCAGACACCTCCACCCTCCAGTCTTCCAGTGTGCCACCGCCCCAGACGTTCTCCCCACAGCCCTACACCCCTGAGGTTGGGTCTCCATCCTACGCACCCCAGGTGGCCCCCGAAGCTAAGCCCCCAGTCTACACTCCACAGGCCATCTCTAAGGTCCAGCCTCCCTCCTACACCCCCCAGGCTGCTCAGGACAGTTGGCCGCCTTCCTATGGGGTATGCATGGAGGGCTCTGGCAAGGACTCTCCCCCTGGGACACCCCAACTCCTTAGGCCTAAAGGTCCACTCCAGAAAGAGGCACCAGCTGGAAGCTGCCTCCCACGTGGCCTTTCTCTGCAGGAAGTGACTGCCTTGGCTATGGAGGGGCCCCAAGAAGCAAAATCATCCCACCAGCCTCTGGGGGGTTGCATGGATGGTACACCTGACCCAAATGTGCCACACAGCGGGCACCTGGAGGAATCACAGTACCTAAAGGGCCAGCTCCCCCTCCTCTCCTCCGTCCAGATCGAGGGACACCCCATGTCCCTCCCTCTACATGCGCCCTCCCTCCCATGTTCCCCCTCAGACCAGGGTCCGAGTCCCTGGGGCATGCTGGAGTCCCTTGTGTGTCCCAAGGATGAGGCCAAGAGCCCAGTGCCTGGAGCCTCAGACCTGGAGCCATCCACAGAGCTGGATTCTCTGTTCAGAGGCCTGGCCCTGACCGTGCAGTGGGAGTCCTGAGGGGAGGCCAGGACAGGCCTGGGTCTTCCTCCCTGCCCCACCCGGCATCACAACCTTGCTGTGAGTCCCACGCCCTACCGTGCCGCAGACTCTGCCACCCAGTACCAGGCGGGTGCCCCGGAGAAAACCAGAGGGGGGAGGACACAGGGCCCCGGCTATGGGTGAGCTCCCCATCAAAGCAAGAAAGCACGATGGAGTTAGTCCATGGAGCTCAGAGCGTGTGGCCTGTCCAGACGAGCAAGTGTGTGCTCACAGAGTCCCACAGAGGATGGTCAGTCAGGGTGCAAGGAGGAAATGCGGGGACACCGCCCAAGATCCAGGGCCCCACCTTCTAACACGCGGGACTCAAAGTTCTCGGGGAGCCTGCCCCTCCTCACCCCATTCCTGGCCAGTTTCATAATCTAGTTCAACAGAGAGTGAGGCCTCTGCCTCGGTGAGTACTCAATGGTGAGAAAAGAGCCTGAAAAGGAAATCTCATGGGATGCCAGGCAGAACCAGAACAACCTGAACTTCTGCCAAGGCCAGAGCCAGCATGATGGCAAGACTTGAGGGAGGGGTGCGGCCTGGGGCTCGTTCCCAACTAGGGCTGCCGCCTGACGTTACACCTCATTCTCCTGCTGGAGGCTTTACTCCCGTGAAACAGAGGTCTGTCAGGGGAGGAGACATGCCAGCCCCTTCTGCAGCCAGGAGTTTCAGACCCTATCCTGAGATGGGGGTTTGAAAGGGGCATGGGGTCATGTGGTCCCAAAGGGGACAAAACAACACACTGTACTGACTTCACAGCTTTGGAAACTCAGCTTGGGGTCAATCTGTCTGGGTTCAAATTCTAGCCTCACCACTTATAAGCTGTGTGACTTCAAGGAAATGAATCATTGCTCAGAACCTTAGTTTCCTCAACTATAAAAGAGGAATAATAACAGCTACCTTATGGGTTGTGATGAGGATGGAATTAAATAATGTCTGGGCCAGGGACAGTGGCTTATATTCATAATCCCAGAATTTTGGGAGGCCGAGGTGGGAGGATCGCTTGAACCCAGAAGTTCCAGACCATCCTAGGTAATATAGCGAGATCTTCTCTCTACCAAATTTTTTTTCAAAACTTACCCAGGCATAGTGTCATATGCCTCTAGTACCAGTTACTTGGGAGGCTGAGGCAGAAGGATCATCTGAGCCCAGAAGGTCAAGGCTGTGGTGAGCCATGATCATGCCACTGCACTACAGCCTGGGCAACAGGGTGAGACCCCAACTTGAAAATAATAATAATGTCTGTAAAGTGCTTGATAGTGCCTGGTACATAGGGCAGTGCCCAATAAATAATAGCTATTTCCTGTTGTGATTTTTAAAAATCAGGTGGCACAAAGCGTGAGACCCCTGTTCCCCAATTCGAATTGGCTTCTGACACACCTGGCATTTCCCCCTGGGTTCAAATAATGCGGATTTCTCAGGCCAACCTGGAGGGGCTGGACTGGCTAGGGTGGGCAAGCGGAGGGACTTCTGCACCTTCTGGAAACAAGGTTCAGAGACCAACGATATGGATCCTTCCCCTGGGGTTATAAGTGGTGGCAGCAGAGACCCTTTGCACAGAGGCCCTTTGCACAGAGCCCCCAGGCCTCTGTCCCACCTGCCTTCTGACACCCCACCAGCAAGCTGCACTGCACTGCCCTCCTGCCCAGGCAGGGAAAGCGCCCTTTGGCTGTGTGCTTTCAGAGTGCAGGACACCCTTTGTATCCATCTCATCTCTGTGACCTCTGTGATGAGGAAACTGAGATTCAGGGAGGGGAAGGGACTTAGCCCAAGACCCCATCATTAAGGCCATGATGTGGTTGGAGCTCAAACCTGGGGCTTCTGTCCTGGCCAAGAGGAGGAACTTTCCACCCATGTCTGGATTTTTAGAGAATGAGACGAATGGGAATAAGGGCAGGAGACCCCCAGTGGGGGTCCCAAGAGACAAGAAGCCCTGGTCACCCTCTTGCTCCAAAGCCCTTTCTGAACTTTTCTCAGAAACAGCATCAAACACCGGTTGCCTCGGTGTGACCCTTCCCAGAATGGACAGTGTCCTTTCTCTGTCCCCAGCCAGATTTCACCTTCCTGACCCTGCCCCTCCCCCTCCCTGAGACACAGCAGCAGGTGGTGTTACACTTATCTGTTTGTAATTAATATTTAACATCTCCCCAGTGTCACTGGTTGAGATCCAACCTCCCCCTAACAGAGGAGTGAGCCGCCCTCCCCAGTGCCCCCGGCCCATTCGCCTCTGTGGCCAAGTCAGCCTGATGACAACATCCCCTCCCCATCGCAAACGAGGCCACTTCCTGTCGCTTGGGGCGCAGTCGGCCAAAGGTTAACTGTCTTCACCTTGTTTATTGGTGAAAAACAACCCAACAGCTGGACCAGGAGCTACCCAAGTCTTTTTTTTTATTAAGGGCCATAACATCATCTCAGACTCACAGGTGCACAATGGAGTCCCCAAGAGACAGGTACCCCCTGGTCACCCTCTTGCTCCAAAACCCTTTGTGAACATTTCTCAGAATAGACCTACACCCCTCAGGGCAACAAACATGGGAAAAATGGGGGAAAAAAATCGATCTGGATTCTGAGTGTTTAAAGTGAGTGTAGGCTGAGTGTCTAGGAGAGAGGTGCTTTTGTGACCCCTCCCCTCAGGCTGGCTCTGTCCCCACTGAGGGGCAGGGACCAGGCTTCCTGACTCTGAGGTTCCCTGCCTCCAGACAGCCCAGGCCTGCAGATGGAGGAGGAACCAGCTAGAGGACAGAGTCCTGGGAAGCCAGCTGGGGGACTTGACATTCCTGAGAGTCCTAGATCCGACCCCATTACCAGGAACCTTCATAGCCCCACCCTGTCCAACTGGAGAAAGGTGAGTCTCCAAGGTGTCACCTGCGTACCAGAAATAAACAACTAGTAACAGTGGCAGTTATAGCTGTAGTCGTAAGAAAGAAGAGGAGGAATTCACCCGTGTTGCCTGGCAGTTCACGTATCTAATCACTCACCCTGCCGTCAAACTTCCTGCCATATAGGTTGTATTATTGATATTTTTCAGGGAGGAAAACATGGCTCAGAGAGGTTGCCTGCTCTAGTCTGTTTCCCAAACTTGGCTTATCATGAAAATCTCCTGGGTAGTTTATGAAAAAATTCAGTTTCCCCAATCCTACCCCAGATCTGTCAAATCCATAGCACACAGGGAACCTGCATTTTCTTTTTTTTTTTTCTGAGTTGGAGTCTCACTCTGTTGCCCAGACTGGAGTGCAGTGGCCGCTCCTGGCCACGGCAGCCTCGACCTGCTGGGCTCCGGTGATCCTTCCACCTCAGCCTTCCAAATAGCCGGAATTACAGGCATCGCTACCTGTAATTTGACTTATTGTAGAGATGAGGTCTCGCTGCCCAGGCAGGTCTCGAACCCGCGGGCTCAGGCAATCCACTCACCTCAGCCTCCCAAAGGCGCGGGATTACAGGCTGAGCCACCGAGCCCAGCTGGAACCTGCATTTTCAATAAACTTCTTTAGGGATTCTTCTCAGGCAAGCTGAGGGAACCATGCACCCTTAATCTGACAGTTCTTCATCCACAGCCTCAGTCAGCATCCTAGAGTCACCCCCATGACATCCCCAGGTGGGGAGGCTGCAAGGCTGTGATGTCTGCAAACCCCTGAACTCCCAAGACCCCAACTCCGGGAACATCCAGGGGTTGCCCGAGTCTCCACCCAGAGGAAGGGCCAGCGAGACAGGAATGCCTTCTCCTCACAGACGGCCGGATCCTCTGTGTCCCTCCCTAGTCTGAGTCAGTCTGGTCAAGGAAGCAAAGGCCTGATGTCACCTCCTAGGTTTGTCCCCTGTTGTCCCCACCCCACCTTCCAGAAATGGTACAGAAGCAATAAGCTGAGGCAGGCACAGCCGGAGAATTGGAGACAGCCCTGCCTCTCCTGCTGACACTGGTGCCATGGGATGCAGCTCTCAAACCCCGGCCTTCCACCCAGCCCCTTGGCTGCTTGACCCCTCATCCCTTCCACCCTAAGGAGGAGGGGGCATGAGGAAGACCCATATGAGAACCGTCATTGGGATGAACTGGAGTGCAAGAGCGCCAGAGGGGGGAAGGGAGACTGGTGCCTTCACAGTCTCCCCACAGGCAGAGAGAAAGGATGCGATGGGGAGAGCCCGAGGCCAGACAGTCCTCCCCTCAAGCCACCAGGGAGAGTTAAACCAATGTTTGTATAGCCCCAAGTCATCTAACAACAGCCAAGGACAGTTTGGGCTGCCATCTGGAAAACTGGTGTGGAGGTTCAGAGTAGTTGGCAGGTGAGGCACAGTCAAATGACTGTCAGTTTGTCCTTAGTGGTCATAAGTCCAGGGAGGGGAATGAAAGAAGAAAGGGGAGAAAGAAGGAAATATGATCCAGATATTCTACCAAGCGCTTTTCCCATTTAACCTCCTTGGAGTCTTGCAGTCATTCTGCAAAACAGGGATTTGCTGTGGTCTGCATGTTGGTGTCCCCCAGATTCATATGCTGATGGTTAATGCAACAGCATTAGGAACTGGAGCCGCTGAGAGGTGATTAGGTCTTAGGGTTGAGGGGAGCACCCTAGCCTTTCCAGCCCCTCCTGCCACCCAAAGACAGCAAGAGGCACCATCTATGGAGCAGAGAGCGAGCCCTCACCACACACGGAACCTGCTGGCTCCCTGATCTTGGACTTCCTGGCCTCCAGAACTGTAAGAAATAAACTCCTATTATTTATAAACTACCCAGTCTCTGGTATTTTGTGGTAACAGTCCAAATGAACTAAGATAGTATGTGTGTATGCATTTATTTGAGACAGGGTCTCACTCTATTGCCCAGGCCGGAGCGCAGTGGCACCACCGTGGCTCACGGCAGTCTCAAACTCCTGGGCCCAAGAGATCCTCCTGCTTCAGCCTCCTGAGGAGCTAGGACACAGGTGCTACCACACCCCGCTAATTTGTCTATGTAGAGACAGGGTCTTGCTTTGTTGCCCAGGCTGGTCTCAAACTGCTGTCCTCAAGCAATCCTCCCATCTCAGCTTCCCAAAGTGCTGGGATTACAGGCATGAGTCTCTGTACCTGGCTCATTTATTCATTTTTAAACAAACACAAAGTTAAGGCCTAGTTGTATGCCAGGCACTGTTCTTGGGGCTGGATATACAATAAACAAGACAGGTAGGCAAGTTCCTTTCTGTCTTGGAACTTATCCCCAATTTACAGATGCAGAAACTGAGGGCCAGAAAGGAGGCCAAATTCCCCCTTTTAGTGAGTAGAGGTGCCAGGGGTTGGGATTTAAACCAAGATTTGTATAACCCCAAGTCATCTAATCTCTGCTCAGCCTCATTACCTGAGGACTGGCTATATTTACAGAGGTCCCAGGGTGAGTGAGCCCATCACTGGGGTATGGCCAGTACAGAGACACGTGGGAACCCTAGTCCCAGAAGGATGGGGTAAGAGAAAGTCATCGGCATTCCTAGAACTGTGGAATTAATGGCAAGAGATCTCATTTAGCAAACATTGGTCAGATAGCCAGGTACTGTGCTGGAGTCTTTTCTTTTTTTCTTCTTCTTCTTTTTTTTTTTTGAGTTGGAGTCTCACTCTGTCGTCCCAGGCTGGAGTGCAGTGGCCACTTCCAACCACCACAGCCTCGACCTACTGGGCTCCGGCGATCCTTCCACCTCAGCCTTCCAAGTTGCTGGAACTACAGGCGCACGCTACCACGCCCGGCTAATTTTTTGATTTATTGTAGAGATGAGGTCCCGCCAAGTTGCCCAGGTGGGTCTCAAACCCACAGGCTCAGGCAATCTACTCACCTCAGCCTCCCAAGGCGTGGGATTACAGGCTGAGCCACTGAGTCCAGCTTGGAGACTTTTCAATAGGATAGCAAGGCAGATACTATTGTCTTCCACTGTACAGATAATAAAACAGAATGGTCCAGTGACTTGCCCAAAGTCATCCAGCTAGTAAGTGGTGGGACTGGACTGGGAGCCCAGGTGAGTCTGACCTCCGGATGCACCCTGCCTCTCCAGTGCACCTTGGTTCAGCCCACCAGGCTGCCTTGGTGGGAGGGGGCTAGAGGACCCATGTACGTGACTGTCTCCTGTTGGACTGGAAGCTCAAGCCACTCTTTGCTGTAGGTACCGACCCACACTCACCCCTCATAGCGAGTGTGTGAGTCTTGGAAAGTCCTTCTCAGACTGGGCCAATAGAAGATAGGACAGACATGCCAAACGATCTCCCAAAAATCAGAAATCAGGGGTGGGGAGGGATGCCTCCAGAAACAGATCTCCCAAAAGATGCTATTACCACCGCGACAGGGAGGCAAGGAGGGAGTTTGGAAAGGGGTTTTCAAATAGGACAGGAGATTAAGATTTTGACTGAAGAGCTCACTTGAGCCCTCTTCCTCTCCCTCCCCCCTCAGGGTGTAGTTCTGAGGCACTAGGAAGAGTGACAGGCAAAGTGTCCACCTGAGACCCCGAGTTGTGGTGGGGAGGTCAGGCAGGGACACTGTGCTGTCTGGACCAAAGCTGCTGCAGCCTTTCCCACACCAGCTCATCCTCTAAGACCTGTGCCCCTCCCTAGTTATCCCCCTGCTGTAAGCACCTGCCTTCACCTGTAGATTAGGGTCTCCTTCTGTATCCTCAGTGTCCTTCAGACCTGGCACGGGGGAGGTGTGAGTGAATGAGGGAAAAATAATTAAGATTCAGGGAAGGCAGGGGCATGCAGGGGCCACTTGGGCAGCCTGAGTGGTTGGACTATGACATAGCAGATGGTTCCCAACGCCTCCTGCCTGTGCCAAGCTCCCCCGTACGTGCCTGCTGCTGGGGTGGTAGAGAGACAGAAGCCACACATTTCCATTTTAGCCAGTGATACCCCATGAGCACTGAAGAGCCGTTTGGAGGTCACATTCCTTCCCCCGCTTTTGTGAAGTCTGGGTGTCCAGTTCCGCTGTCTCCACGTCTTCAGAAGGAGAATCAGCCCAGAGAAGTTGTGTGCCAACCCCAGGACACCTCATTAGCTGGAGGCAGCATTCACATTAGAACCCCCGACAGCTGGGAAAACTGTATCGACCCAGCTTCAGCACTGGCCAAGCCTGAGCCATTTCCTCCTTTCCACCTTAACCAGGGCTGGAGTTGGGCAGAAAGGATCGAGCTGAGAGGAGGAGCAGTGGGAGGGGGGACCTGGGGGGTGGGGAGCTCCACCTGTTGCTGCTGCCTGAGCAGCACTGGAGGGATGGAACAGCCCCTCCCCTCCCCCACCCCACGCCATAGTTCTCATCCATTGTCATCGGACTGTCTGGGGCGCTGCTATATTTAAGACCGGTCAGGCTCTGGGGGCGCATTCTCTTCCCAGTGCCTGCCGAGCTGAAGGCAAGAAGAAAACAAGAACCCTCTCACCCTCTGGAATCTTCTCCGCAGAGACTCTTAAGTGGGCAAGCTGCTTCTGTGAGTCACCTCCAGAAATCAGGGTGGGGAGGGATGCCTCCAGAAAGTGATTCTATGGGTGTGTGTGTGTGTGTGTGTGTGTGTGTGTGTGTGTGTGTGTGTGTGTTGGGCAGCACCCCAGGAGAAAATGGGAAGGGACCCCAGAAACCCCCGTCCCATCTCGCTGTCCTGTGTGGCCCTGGGTCTTTCAAGAGCAGAGTTCTCAGCGATGTGGAAGCTGAAGAAAAGCTGAGAGCCAGCTGGGCACTGGTGTTCTTCCTGCAACAGAGCAGCAGTGGCAAGGGCCGGGTGAAACTGGCAAGCCCAGAAAACTTACAGCAGTGCTGACTGAGCCCTGCTTGGCCAATTCCGCAGGCAGGGGAGGGGAGCAAGCCCGCGGACCCGGAAGGCATCTCCTCCAGTGCCCAGGCCGCTTGGCAGGAAACCGAGGCCCAGACGGGAAAGGAGTTGCCTCAGCTCATCAGAGGCCAGGCTGACTTGTGGCCTCTTGGAGGAGAGCACGTCCCACCCACCCCACGCAATCCTCTGTCTTGGTTCAAGACCTAGTCTCTGTGTATTTCTCTTTCACCCCTGAGGAAGGGGAGGGGCCTCCTGGGTTGCTTATCAGGGGGCCAGGAAGCAGATTGGGGCTTGGGAGGAAAGCAGAGGGGGGCCAGGAAGGCCACATTTATGCACCCTCAGGAAAAGACAAGGGTGGTGGTTCCCCCTCAGGCAGGCACTCATGGTGTTCCGGGAAGAGGGCACCCCAGTCCTGTGGGAAAGGGCAGGCAGTCTGCAAACTTGTCCCTGCCTAATCCTGCGCAACAGTCAGTGCTTTAAAAAGAATTGATGGCTCATCCGCTAAAGCTGGGGGTCTGGTTGCTGGAGGCCCAGAGGTCAGCGATAAGTGCCAGGCCTGCTGCTGCGCTAATCAGGAACAGAGCACCCAGGGGAAGGGAGCCAGCAATTGGTGCCAGGGAGCGTCAACCCTCGGCTGCTGGGGCCAGGGCACAGCGTCCAGGGAAAGCTGGGGGGAGAGATCTCTCGGTCTGGATGCACCCAGCAGCTCTGCTCCTGGGCTATGAGGAGGAGAGAGTAGGATGAGCAGGGCTGGCCACTTCTTTGGGTGGAAAGGGACGTTCTTCCGTCAGGAAGGGTCAGATCTGGAGCCCCAGAAGGTGACAGTCCCACTAAAATCAGCTGAGATTATCAGCAGGAGCCGAGGGAGATCTAGGGGCAGCCCTTGGTCCCAATGAGCATAGCAGTCATCCACTCTCTTTCCTGATGTCCACAACTGTGGATCCCTAAGGGAGCGAACTTGTAAGAACTGGAAGGAGTAAATGTCCACTAAGATTGACCCTCAGCAGCCTGAGCCCCATGACACCTTCCACGGGCCCCTTCCAGGCCACAGGATCTCTGATGAGGCTGGTGGGCTCATCTCACGTGTCATGGACTTAGAGACACATCACTTGGTCACTTGGATGTTGTGTTCACACCCAGGTCAGAAGAGTCTCTCTCTCTCTCTCTCTCTCTCTCTCTCACACACACACACACACACACACACACACACACACACACACACACACACGCTCCACCACACCCAGCAGGCCCCTCCAGGGAGAGGGGGGCCAGGCAGAGCCTACTTTCACAGAAGCAGACAGGAAAGGGCTGAGGCGTGGTCTCCTCTTTTGGCTCCTTCCCCAAGTCTGCACATGGACCCTTCCTGGGCAGAGGCTTACCAACCAGGACTCCCACCTGGAGAAGGTGTAAAAGTCGTTCAGGGATTTCACCAAAGCTTTAGCATCAGAGGAGTGCTCAGAGACCCAGCAGTGCCTGAACCCTGGATTGGAGAAAGAACATAATGCAAAAGCCTGAAGCAAGCTGGTGCGCCAGCCCCCCGCTCTCCCCCTCACTTCTTCATTCCTGGGATTCACTCCCTGCGCCCTGAGCCCCCTTCAGATCAGTTCCATCCAACCCTGCTGGGTGCCATCTAGAGCCTAGACCTGAACCTCAGGGGTACAAAGGAAGATCTGCACATTGTGAACCCTTCTGAGAAGAAAGGCCAGGTGGCCCACTGTGTCCCAGCTTTGACCACAGCGTGGCCTTGAGGGTATATCCACCACCAAGCAGCCAGGTGACCCCAAGCAAACACATTCCCTCCTCATCGGTAAAATGGGGTCATAAGGGTGCTGTCATCATTTGGGTTATTGGAGGGACTGGGGAAAAAGCATTTGAAAACTCACACAGGGCCTGACACATAGTAAGCGCTCACTATTGTTGCTTTCAATTCACTTGTTAAAGAGTCAAGATGCACAGATACAAAATAATCAAGTAGCTGAATCAGAGCTAAATTGTGGAGTGCAGATAAAAAGTACAAAAGGGATTCGAGGAGGGAAAGTTCTAGCAGCCTGTAGTTTTTCAGCAGGGCTTCTTAGAAAAAGCACACGATGATCTAACACTTATATAGTACTTACTAAGCAGCCGTCACCCATCCAACCTTTATGATTATGCTGGGAGGGTAGACCCATTTTATAGATGAGGAAGCCAAGTCATAGAGTCTTTTCCCAAGGTCACACACACACACTTGTAAGCTGGACTGAGGAGCTGTGAACACACCCTGCAGGCTGGCCTCAGAGTCTCTACATTTAACCGTCACACTCACTAGAGCCCCTGCCCACTCTGAGTCATAGAGACAGCCTGGACATCACAGTTGTCACAGCTGAGGCCAGAGTAGGGAAAGTCTTGCCCTAGGTCGTGCTAGGAGCAGCTGGAAGCCACTGTTTCCCGTGTGGGGCTCAGCTGGGAGAGAGCCGGGCTCAGAGCCCAAAGTCTGCCTCTGTCACTTTAGGCAGGCCACTCTCCCTCTCGGGCCTCAGTTCCCCTGTCTGCCCACTAGAGAGAGAGAGACCCCACCCTGCTGCCCTCCCAGAGACACTGGGAAGATGGCATGGATGGGGATGGGCAAGTGCCTAGTGGAATGACCGTGCACCTTGACCTTGACAGGTTTTGCTCCCGCAGCCATGACTCTGCCCCACAGTCCTGGAAGTGTGGGGAACCCCCGGTCTCCCCAGGCCGTGGAGGTCCACAAGCGGGAGCACCGACAAGAGGAGGAGCGGAAGGAGGAGCGACAGCAGAGCCTGCACATGGGCTCCTCGGTGCGGAAGCGGACCTTCCGCAGCAGGTGGGCATGGTAGGGTCCCACTCAGCCCCCAGGGAGCCCAGTCTGAGGGAGGAGACACATCCCAGCCCTCCGGTGGCTCCAACCTGAGTGAGGAGGGCACATCCCTGCTTGCTGAGATCCCTATCTGGTCGGAGAAACACAGCCCTCTGGAGACCCCAGGAAGATGGAGGAGGCACAGCCCTACCCTCTGTATCCTGTCTGAAGTGGGAGGCACATTCTTGCCCACTGAAGACCCTGTCAGGGTCAGGGGAACTTTTTGAGATCCTAGTCTGAGGAGGGAGGCACAGTTCTGCCTGCTAGCACCCTGAGACTGAGGTGGGCAGGTGCAGCCCTAATCTCCAGGAGCCCCAGCCAGATTCCCAGCCAACCCTGCAGAAGCCATTAACTCCCCTCCTCCTGGGAGCAGTGAGGAAGACTATCAGTTCAGCACTGCAGACCACGCCCTCGCAGCAGCCCTGGCTCTGACGGCCTCCTCCGAGTTGTCTTGGTAAGTCAGATGACCTTCCCAGGGAGCCCTGGCTGAGGAGGGGCCAACCTGTCCAGTCCCCTGCCTCCCTGCTGGGCTCCCACACTGAACTTAAAGAACCTGTCCCAAATTACACATCTAGAGCAAGCGTCTAGCCAGGAGTTTGCGCCCAGGGTTGTCTGCCCACAAAGCCCACATACCACCCTCCGGAAGGGTCCACACACAGCAGCAAGGGACTGTTCCCAAGGGAGAGGGTGGGAGCCCACTTCACTGCCACCAATGGGCTTAACATGGGGTGGGATGGGGCTGGAACTGGTTGAGAGGGAGCAAGTAAACCAGGCCCTAGTTTCACACATGAGCCCAGAGACTGGAGAGCCTCTGAGTAGGACAGCTCTCTGAGGGGCAGCTTCAGGTTTTGGGCCGGACCCTGGGCTGGAAGGCTGGAGTCGAACCTGGCTGGCCCAAAGCAAGTCAATGAGGCTTAAAATAGGGAGACTAATGCCTGTCCCCTTGGTTACAGAGAAAGGGAGAGGAACAAAGTTTTGTGAAAGAGCCTCGCAAATTTTAACAATGGTCAAGTGTTTACTAAGCACGTACTGTAGGCAGGGCCCTTCCAGGGTATTTGGGAGTGCAGCCGGCATTGCTGGGCGTGAGGATGGAACTGGTCAGGATGCCCCAGGCCCCCAGACCATGTCTGAGTCCTGATGGCCTCTGTCACCGCAGGGAAGCCCAACTGAGGCGCCAGACCTCTGCTGTGGAGCTGGAGGAGCGAGGACAGAAGCGGGTGGGCTTCGGCAATGACTGGGAGCGGACGGAGATCGCCTACCTGCAGACCTACAGGCTGCTGCGCCAGAGACGCGACCGGAAGGCTCTGAGACAGAGGGTGAGGGCTGGGGTGGGAGTGGCTCTCCACATCTGCCATCCTCACCCCAGCCCCTTCTCAAGAAAGAGCTGGACATCCAGGACAGAGTCCAGGCCCTGGGTTTGAATCTGGTGCTCCTGCCCTCTAGCCAAGTGACCTTGGGCAAGCACGTCAGCATGCGTGAGCCTCAGTATTCTCATCTGTAAAATAGTTGTGTTTGGAAAAACTCTCAGTGCTGATGTGGGAGCTGAGTGAGGCTGGGTTTGTAAAGTGACTTCTCCAGTGCCTAGAACACAGAAGACGCTCAGGAAATGCCAGCCCTGACAAATGTGCCCCCACCCCCCAGGTCACACAAGAGCTTTTTCAGTGCCCATGTTTTTCAAAAATCAAACTCCATAGAGGTGGGAGGGGAGGACATTATTATCATCCCCATATTACAGATGAGAACACGGAGGACCTGCCTGCGGTCCCACAGCTAGTAAGCGCAAAGACAGGCCTAGACCCCAGCCCATGCCCTGCCCGCTGAGCCACACTACCCAGCTGGTGGAGGGAGACTGCTGTCCATGGGAGTCTGCCTCCAGAGCCGGGCACTGGGGTGGAAATGGCAAGGATGGAGGAGAGGTGGTCCCTGGCCCCCAGGAGTCACACACCTCCTCCCACCTCCAGACGGAGGAGAAGGTCCGGGAAGCCAAGGAACTGCAAGAGTTGTGTTCCAGCCGAGGGCCATGGTTCTGGATCCCCCTTCGCTCCCACGCTGTCTGGGAACACACCACGGTCCTGCTGACCTGCACTGTCCAGGCCTCGCCACTACCCCAGGTCACCTGGTAAGCCGCTGGGGCAGGAGGAGTCCCCACTCAGCCCACATTCTGGGCCTCTGGGGTCATGTGAGTGAGTCTCTCTCTTATAGCCAACACCTCCTCCAGGAGTTCCTGCTGCCATAGCAAAGCTCCAGACCCAGGTACCCTGAGTTCTCAAATGGAACAGCAGCTGCTGGGGACTGGGTTATTCTCAGCCACCCCCAGCCAGCCTGGGGCTGGAAGGCTGAGCCCCCAGGGAGCTAGCCCTCATAAAAATATGATTCTGGTGGCATGAGAAGGCAGCTGCCACAGGCTGGGCGTCTCCAGGACTGAGGATGATGGTGGGAGGCAAGACTGGGCCAGAGGAGCAGGCAGGAGGTGGGAGGGCGGTGCCCACACTGGGAGGAAGCTCAGGTCTGGGGCAGGAGCCTTGTGTCCTAGGCCTCGCTTTCTCTCTCTACTAACTCAGTGTGCAGTCTGAGCCATGTCTCTTAAGCTACCTGGTCTGCCTCGGTTTTCTATTCTGTAGAATGGGTTGAAGTCCTCCTGTCCAGCTTGTATGTGGTGAGGATTTAATGCCACAACCATGTGGAAGCCCTCAGCCCTTTTGAAGGGCTGAGAAAGCAGAAGATGCCGTTCCTGGGAGAGTAACCACAGCAGAATCCGGGAGGCTAGGCCTTCCTGGGGGAGAGGACAGGAGGGTAGGGGGTTTCTTGCACAGGAGGGGTGGAGGTGGGACTGGGCATAGCTGCCTCCAGGCCTCAGTCTCGTGACAGAAGGAGGCATGTCATACATACAGCTGAGCCACTGTTTCCTGGGATCCCCTGACCTAAGGCCATTGCTAGGCACCTGGGGGGATGAGGCAGGGTTTCTGACATATATTTACCAAGAGCCTCATCTGTCCCAGGACCTGACTTGGGCACAGGAGGACTGAAACAACCAGATGCCATCTCACCCTCAAGGACCTCTCGGCCCAGAAAGGAAATGTCCACACACAGATATTTGGGATTTGATATTTGGAATCAAAGAGTAGGGGTAAAGAGGAGGAAGTGGGTGCCCCCACCTGGAAGATCCAGGAGGGCTTCTTGGACGAGGTCGCATATGAACTGGACTTGGAGAACAGAGGAGAGTCAACCAGGAGGGAGAGGATGGGCCCATACATAGCGGAGAATGCTAAGGAAAACAGCAACATCTTACACGGAAACCCCCTTATGTGACCTAGCACTTTGCTCTCATTTGAGCATTGGGGCCACTCATGAAGTAGGGACTATTCATCCCCACTTCACAGGTGAGCATCTCAAGGCTCAGAGAGGTGGTGTGACTTATTTAAATGTACACAGTCAATGTAAGTCAGGATTCAAACTCAGGTCTCCTGCCTCCAAGCACCTTCACTCTTTGTGCTAGCCTAGAAAGTAGGAAAGTGATCATTATAATGATTGTTTTTCTTAAAGCATATATCATGCTTCAGAAGTTAGGGAAATAGAAATCACTTAGGCCAGGAACAATCAAGAAAGGTATCTTGAGAGAGTTGGCGCTGGGACTGGTCATTGCCAGCTGGCATTTATTTAAAAAAAAAAGGATGCCAAGCACCTTACTGGCATTCTCCAAGGACAAGGGCAGTCCCTGCGTGCAAGTTAGGGGGTCCCAGTAGGAGGCCTGTTCCCAGCACTGGCCTGGGCTAAACGGAGGTCAGCACTGCAGCTGTCCTGGCCCCACAGCCAAGTTCTGCCCGGCTCTGGCACCAAGGCCCACATAGAAGACATTCTTGGAAGCCTCCCGGAGGGGCCTTATTTCTACCCCTGCCAACAAGGTTGCCACAACAGGGAGCTGAACATTCCTGACAATAGGCAGAAGCCAAGGCCAGGCTCGCCTCCAGCCCAAGCGACTCAGGCAGCCCCTGGCACTCCTGGCTTTGCCTATCTGATTTTCCATCATTAATTACATTGGGCAAGGGTCATGCATCATCCCGGGATTGATCTCCAGAGGTTCCGTCTGGGCCCTGGTAGAGACCCAGCCCCAGATCAGAAGGAAGATCCTGGCTCACCTGGCTTGTCAGGCGAGTCTGTTCATTCAGCAATTATTGAGCACTTCCTGAATGCAGCGGCACCAAGAGAACTCAAACACACAAACTTACTCTGGAAAGGCAGACACACAGAGCACTCAGCTGGCGTCCAGAGGGTTTGTACAACTGAGAGACTTGACTTGAGCTGGTGTCCCTGAGAGAGGATGCAACTTGCTGTGGAGGGCCAAGGAGGGGTTTGTTTTTGTGTGGGGAGGTGTCACAATAGATGCTCATGGAGGAGGAGGAACGTCTGCCTGGGACAGCAGATGAGGAAAGTCAGGGGAGGCCTCAACTCAGGGTGTTCAGAGAACCCCAACCCTCTGAGGGGTGCCAGGGGCCTGGACCAGGGTGCAAGGAGGGAAAGACCAGAGCAGAGGAGGGGATGTGCCTGACGGTGGCAAGGGCTGGATGGTAGGTACCTTGAACACCAAGCTGAGGAATCTTGGACAGTAGGAAGGCAAGGAGGGTGTCGGCTCCCACAGGCCTCACCTCCAGGGTCAAGAATGAGGTGACGTTTCCACAAAATGCCAAAGGGGAAAATTGCTGAGGAATGGCATGTTGAAAAGCCCAGTATCCTGGGTCTCTGGCCAACAGCCTGGCAAATTAAGTAAAGCCCACTCTGGCCATGTTCACCACAGAAATGGGTCTTGGCCATGAATCTAACTGATGCTGGTTAGAATCAAGCTCTCAGGCCAAGCATCCTCAAAAAGTACAATCTAACACCAAAATATGTGAGGAAAAAATTTCAGATAATCAAAATGAGGCCAGACCCGGTGGCTCATACCTGTAATCTCAGCTACTTAGAAGAAGGAGACAGGAAGATCACTTGAGCCCAGGAGTTCAAGACCATCTTGGACAATATAGTGAGACCTTGTCTCTACAAAAAAGACAAAGAAAAAATTACTTGGGAGGCTGAGGCAGGAGGAACACCTGAGGCCAGGTGTTCAAGGCTGTAGTGAGCTATGACTGCACCACTGCACTTCAGCCTGGGCAACAGAGCAAAACCCTGTCCCCAAAAAACAAAAATCCAACTCTTTTAAATGGTTCTTAAAATCCCACTTTTTAAAGAGGTCCACCTAGGACTGGGTGGTTCCTTGCCTCAGTTAAGGTTGTTTTCTTATCGGAAGCCATTTGGGGGCGTCCATGCCCATGCCTTTAAGCGCCTGACGTGCAGGTGGGCGACTGAGGCCCAGAGACAAGGAGGGATAAGTGTTAAGGTCTCTGGCTGTTCAGGCCGTGCTCAGAGTGGCAGCAGCTGCTTTTTCCAGGAAAAGCAGAGCTGGGCAGGCAGAGGTATCTGGAATGTTCCTGACAGGTGTGGGGCCGGGGGCCTGAGTCTTCCCCCCGGGTCTGGGAGAGCTGGCAAGATTGTGTGCCCAGATTAGACAACACCCTCCACCAGGGAGAATTAGTTGGGCTCCTTCCCCGAGAGGGCGCAGGCAGGGGGCCGTGTGGTGGAGCGTGGGCGTGTCTCTGTTTGGTTGCTATGGAGACAAACAAGGCATGGGAGGGGCCAGGTCCCAGGAAGGCCGCTTGCTGAGCCTGGGGCGCCCTCTCTCTTTGAGGCCTCCTCTTCAACCTCAACCACCACCCCGGGTCATTCACCCCATGATGACGCAGGGATACAGAGGCCCAGAGAGGGGGCTGAGTTGCCCAAGTTCACACAGAAAGCTGGATCAAGAACCCAGGCCTCCCAGCTTGCACTGACACTCCCCAGCCCCAATTCCTCAGGCTTCCAGACCCCCAGGCCATCCCACTGGCCAGTCCACACAGCAGGGAGAATGAGACCTCAGAGTTCACAGAAAATAAGAGTGGCATCTACTTGACCACCCTTGGGAATCACCAGGAATTTTTTTAAATACGGATGCCCAGGTCCCAGTTCCAGAAATTCTGATTTTATTGATCTGGGAGGCAGCCTGGGCATGGAATTGTGGTTGTTTTTGTTTTTGTTTTTGTTTTAGAGTCAGGGTCTCACTCTGTCATCCAGGCTAGAGTGCAGTGGCACGACCATGGCTACCACAATCTCTACCTCCTGGGGGCAGGCGATCCTTCCGCCTCAGCCTCCCAAGTAGCTGGGACTATAAGCACGCACCACCACACCCAGCTAAGTTTTTTAATTTTTTGTAGAGACGAGGTCTCGCTATGCTACCCAGGTTGGTCTGGAATTCCTAGGCTCAAGCAATCCTCCTGCTTCCACCTTTTTTTTAATGGCTTAAATAAGATAGAAGCTTATTTTTCTTCCACCTCAATGTCTGAATGCAGCTGCCAGGGGCCTGCTTCACAGATCCCAGGGACTCAGCTTCTCTTAGATCACTATGGGAGGGACACCCTGGACTTCGCAGTACCATTTAGCAGCTGTCACAGCCTTGCTCCTGCCACAGGGCTTGGGGGAAGGTGACATGAAAGGGAGCAAAGGGTGTCCTCAGAAGCAGCCGCGTGACAGTTGCCCTCACCTGTTGTTGACAATCCTAAGTCATATGGCCACACCTCGCAGAAAGAACAGCAAGAAAACCTGTCATATATTGAGTGGCCCAGGGTGAATTCTATTTGCCCATCAGAATGGCTATGAAAGAACAATTAGCAGCTTCTAATGCAAATTCTCACAGACTTATGCTCAAAAACCGGACATGGAGATTTTTTTCTTTTCTTCCCATTTTTATTTGAGATTCGAGGGCACACATGCATGTTCGTTACAGGGACATACTGTGTAGTGTGGGGATTGGGTCTCAGGTGGCCCATTCTCCAGATAATGAACATTATACCCAATAGGTAATTTCTGAACCCTAATGTCCCTTCCTCACCTCCCCCTTATTGGTGTCCCCAGTGTCTATTATTTCCATCTTTGTGGCCATTTATCTCCCTCATATAAGAGAGAACATACGGTGTTTGGTTTTCTGTTTCTGAGTCAGTTCACTTAGAATGATGATCTCAGCTCCACCCATGTTGTTGCAAAGGACATGATTTCATTCTTTTGTATGGCTGCATAGTATTCCATGGTGTATATATATACCACATTTTCTTTATCCAGTCAATTGTTGGTGGACACTTAGGTCGGTTCCACGATTTTGCTATTGTGAATTGTGCTTCAGTGAACATATGAGTACAGGTAGCCTTTTAAAAAATATATTGATTTCTCTTCCTTTGGGTAGATTCCTAGTAGCGGGATTGCTCAGTCAAATGGTAATTCAATGTTTAGTTCTTTGAGAAATAGGCATACTGTTTTCCATAGAGGTTGAACTAGTTTACAAATCCCACCAACAGTGGATGAGTGCTTCCTTTTCTCCACAACTGTGCCAACATACCTCGTTCTTGTACTTTCTGATAATGGCCATTCTGACTGGCGTAAGACAGTATCTCACTGTGGTTTTAATGTGCATTTCTCTGATGATTCGTGATGTTGGGCATTTTTTCATATGCTCATCAGCTGTTTTTGTCTTCTTTTGTGAAGTGTCTCTTTGTGTCCTTTTGGGCATGATTTTTTTTTTTTTTAAGTTGGAGTCTCACTCTTGTTGCCCAGACTAGAGTGCAGTGGCATGCTCACGGCTACCGCAGCCTCGACCTGCTGGGTTCCGGTGATCCTTCCCCCTCAGCCTTCCAAGTTGCTGGAATTACAGACACATGTCACCATGCCCAGCTAGTTTTTGTGATTTCCTGTAGAGATGAGGTTTCACCAAGTTGCCCAGGGACATGATTTTTCAAAGCCCCCCCCCCCCGCCCCCAGTGATTACAGCGACAGCCAAAATAAAAAACAGCCTTCCTGAGAGGTCAACAAGAGAAGCAGGTATTGGGGATAACTCCTCTGGCAAGCCCTCTCAGAGGGGAGGGATCTTTGTCCTGGGGTACCCCTGGGAGTGTCCCTGGTTGGGAAGGGCCCTTAAGTACAGGATCCCTATTCTCTGTCTTCAAGAGCACAGGGCACTGGCGAAAGGCTTTACATGCCTTATCCCATTTCACTGTCAGAGCAACCCTGCAAGCACGGTGCTTTTATACTCCCATTTCACAGGTGAGGAAAACTGAGGTTCAGAGCAGTGAATGTGCTGCCCTGGGTCGCACAGGCAAGTAAGCAACACAAAACTGAGGTTGAAATCCAGGTCTGAGAGGCTCCAGATCCCTCCCACTTGGAGCCACACTGCCTGTCACAGATCACTGTGTCCCCACAGGTACAAAAATGACACGCGAATTGATCCTCGCCTCTTGCCTGCCGGAAAGTACCGGATCACCAACAACTATGGGCTGCTGACCCTGGAGATTAGGAGGTGAGACTGTGGACCAGGAGAGACCCCATGACCTCCAGGCCCCCTACCGCAACTGAGGCCAGAGCAGACCCCTAACCCTTCCTCAGAGATATGTCCTGAGTTTGCCTCACCTTCAGAAGGATCTGGGGAGCTTGTTAAGATATCCTTTCCAGGGGTGGAACCTCTCACCTTCCCTAGAGATCCAGATTAAGCAGGAGTGGGGCCCAGGAATCAGCATTTATCATACACATCCCTGCCCCTACCCCGACACCTTGGAATACACGGTGAGAAATTTGGACTCAGAGACTAGCAGCAAGGACTGATTGCTGAGCTAGGCATGCTGGGAAAGCTCCTTGCTGGGGGAGAGAAAGCACACACATACACATATGCAAGGGGAAGCAGTTTGAGGGGAGGGAGTTGGACCTTTCAGGAGACAGTGAGTCTCACGCATGATTTTGAAGGAAGAGGCAAGTGCGTGGAGGGAGGCCCTCTGGGAATACGAACCACAGCCCTCTCACACGCGTGGCTTGTCCATGTATTGAGTCCCTCCCAGGTGCCAAGTCCTGTGCTAGGTGCTTGCCTTACACAACTGGTGATCCTCCACCATGCTTGCAGGGAAGTGCTGGCACCCCAGGTTACAGGTGGGGAAACGGGCTTGCAAGGGCTGAGGGTCTCCATGGCTAGTACAGGGCCTTGCTGGAACCAATTCTTTCCATCTGGGTTGTTTCCAAAACAACAAACTCTCTATCCTAGCCAAACTGGGCTTCAGCGACACAGAGGTGAGCAGGACATGATCCCCTGCTCCAGAAGCAAAGAGGGGATCCAGGAACTTAAATCTCTGACCATACAAGGCTGCTGCAGAAAGGTGCCCTATGGCTGCACAGCCAGGGGAAGGGCATGGGGCCGTGGAACCTGGAGGGGCCGGCAGGAGGGCCCTTGAACCAAGAGGGACTCCTGCCCTGAGTGGTCAGAGGAAAGGGGAGGCACCAAGGGCCCTCTCTGCTTGCTGATGGGGTCAGATGTGCCACATCCTACCACCTACTCTCGGTCCCCAAGGTACCCTGTTTTGGAGGTGGCCCAAGCGTCCACTAGGAGCATGACAGGACTGGCCTGGCTGGTGGTGAGACCCAGGCCTGAGATCAGGAACACCTGGGCACCTGGCCCAGTTCTGCACAGACTGCAGAATGCCTTGGCCAAGTCCGTCTGCTGTTCTGTGTGAGAGAAAAAGGCTCCGGGATTCTGGTTTGAAGTTGCTGTGTGACTCTGGGAAGGTCAACTAACTTCTCTGACCTTCCAGAGTTGGTAATAACAATGGAGTGTGGTACGTCATATTTTTCGAAGCACTTTCCCCTGAGATGGTTTAGGCGGTGTTATGTCCCCAGAGTCCCCAGAGGACCCCAAAGCCTGGAGAGGTACAGTGGCCAGCCTGAAGACACACAGCTTTTCAGAGATGGCATCCCAAGTTTCCCTCTGGCACCATGAGGCGTTTCTTTCCTTCCAGCCTTTCCTGCACACAGATGGGGACTGGGGTTCCCCACGAAGTCCAGCAGTCTCAGGGGACCTCTCTCCTCTTCAGGTGCACCATGGAGGATGCAGCCACCTACACCGTGCTGGTGAAGAATGCCTACGGCCAGGCCTCCGCCTTCGCCAAAGTCATCGTCCGCAGTAAGTCCTCCAGCCCCCGACAGGCCAGGCCACCACAAGCCCACGTGGAGTGTCTGTGTCAGACCTGAACAAGGGCCTCTGGCACATAGGAGTTGAGCCTGGCATTGGGTGACCAGGGCAGCTGGGGGACGCCTGCTCCCCGGGGCCTTTGGGACAAGTGAGACTCTCCTCCCTCCACTGGGTGTGGGCAGCAATGCCAGCTCTGTGGACTGAAGGTGTAAGGCCTGGGTGAGGCAGGATCGTCTGCCTCCTGGACTGGCGTCAAGAGCAATTAGGAGGACAGGTCAAGGGAACTGACCTTTCCTGAGCTCTCACTATGCACCAAGCACACTTGGCAGTTCCTGATTCCGTACTACCAGGCGGTCGCAAGGCTGGGACTTGAACTTGCTCTGTTTGCAGGATCGGATGGCACCTTTGGGTGAACTGGGAGGACAACTTAGAAAAAGGGGCCCTTTCCTCCAGGAAGGTTCAGCCCACACACCAGGGCACATGGCTTGGCAAGGAAAGCAGACTGGATCTCAGTCCCTACTTGCCCTTTCAGGGGACACCTTTGTGCCAGGCACCACCTACACAACAGTTCAAAGCAAGCCTACCTGCCTGCCATGCCAAGAAACACACTTGTCCCACCAGCTTGGACTTAGGTCTAGATCCAGGGCCTCTGGGAGGTGGTCTGGCTCTCCCAACCCTGCTGAGGAGGAGTCCTCATGGGCAAAAGCCAAGCCCCATCAACTCCCAACCTGACCCCCATGGCCCCATCTGGTTTTGGTGCATATTTCCCAGTTGGGCGCCCCTCTCCCGGAGGTTACCCCACAGGCATTTGAAATCACAGCATGAAGCAGGGAGACACTCAGGACTCAGTCAGACCCGAGTTCACATCGTGGCTGTGCCGATGACTGGTTGTGTAAACTGGGGGCACCACCTCACTTCTCTGAGCCTCCATTTCTGTGTCTGTAAAGGGGAGAATCCTACCACCTCCCTCAGATGCTCGTGTTGATTAAGTGGGATGATACGGATAAAGCTTCGTATATGGTAGGCTCTTGGAAAATGATGTCCATTCCACCCCAAGCACTGCCAAGGGGGCCACGCCTCTGGGCCCAGGAGAAAGTCGTGCCCTGTGCTCAGGGTCCCCAGGAGAGAGAAGACCCATATACACACATCCACTCATACACACTCCTGGGCAGTTGTCCTGGACTACAGACAGGTGGAGTCTGGCCCACCCTCCTTGCCTCCCATCAGACCTTGTTAACTGTCCTGCACAGCCCTCTCCACCCCTGCCCTGTTCCCCAAATAGCTCTCGGGAGACAGCTGTCCCCACTCCCAGGCCAAGCTCTCTGTGGAAATTTGAGCTGCTCCCATAGGCCACGCCAGAGTCAAACCCAAAGTCAGGACTCTGCCTCCCTCTGTCCACCCACCCTTCCCATCACTTCATCCAGACCCCTGTCTTTTCCATCCCCGTCTTTCCTCTATGAAGGCTAGCAGCTCTGGAATGCACCAGGCTTGTTCTTGGCCTCTGGACTCTAGCCAACCTCCTTGAAGAGCATCCACTCACCACCACTTCCACCTCATTCTCTACACTTATCTCTGTGGCAACTTCCCTGGTCTTAGTGGAAAACCCTGGGCTGGGAGGCAGGAACCCTGGGTTCTAATCCTGGGTCTTCCACTGACCCTGTACAACCTCTGGCAGCTTCTTGCCTCCCTGGACCTCACTCAGGAAGGGCCTTTCCAGACACCATTATCATGTGGTTTCAGACTGCTGCACTGTTATCTGAGTGACTCTGCCTCAGTTTCCCCATCTGTATGAGAGGACAATAATGGTACCAGCAGAAAGGGCTGTTGTGAGGATTGAATAAGTTAATGTGTGGCATATGGTAAGCACAATATGAGAGGGAGCTGTTTTTTTAAAATTTATTTTTATTTTTATTTTTTTTGAGTTGGAATCTCACTCTGTCGCCCAGACTGGAGTGCAGTGGCCGCTTCCGGCCACCGCAGCCTCAACCTGCTGGGATCCGGCAATCCCTCCGCCTAAGCCTTCCAAGTAGCTGGAATTACAGGCATGCGCTACCACGCCCGGTTGATTTTTTGATTTATTGTAGAGATGAGGTCTTGCTGCCCAGGCGGGTCTCGAACCCGCGGACTCAGGCAATCCACTCACCTCAGCCTCCCAAAGGCGTGGGATTACAGGCTGAGCCACTGAGCCCGGCGGGAGCTGTTTTCATTCTCTGGTGGTCTATGTCAAAGTAACTTTGGATTTCACCCTTCAGCTTCCGCACTGCTGTTTCAGTGTTGCCTCTCCCCAACCACTCTCCCTGACCCCACCAGAAATCCCAGAGCCTCCAACCAGGCTCAACCTCTGTGAAGACAGTGCGTGGTCCTAGTAGCAAGTTCGGGCAGAGGAAGGAAACCAACGTTTCTTGAGCACCTACGGTGGTGTGTCAGTCTCCAGCTGGGGACTGTATCCATGTGAACTCATTCATTGATACCACCACCATCAGGAAGGAACTACTGTTCCCATTTTACTGATGAAGGAACCGAGGCACAGAGAGGTGAAGGAACTTTCCCTAAGCCCCGGGGGGGAGCCAGCAACAGCCAGGACTCAAGCCCCTGCCTCTAACATATCATAGGAGTGTGGAGTCTGAACCCTCTCCAACTCTGTCTGCCTTGGGTTTTCAGCTTACCTGGGGAAGGATGCTGGCTTCGATTCAGAGATCTTCAAAAGTGAGTTGTGTGGGGGAGGGTGGGGCCTTCTGGGCTAGGAGCGTGTCTGATGTCCTTATTCAGGCTTTGGCCTCCCCATAGTCCCTTTTAAGAATACGGTTATCCCTTACCCACAACAGGATGTCCCCTTGGGGTTTGTCTATGAGCTGGTAACACTTGCAGACTGGAGCCTAGAGTCCCAAAAGACCCCAGAGCAGCCCCCAGCTGTTGAGCTGTCCTTTGACCAAAACTGGATCAGAAAGGCCAGCGCCAGAAGACAAACAGGCTTGGCCCTGGAATATCTGCTATTTTGGCTTCCCTGGTCCCCACCTAGATAAGTCTCTTCCCCTTCTGCCGCACAACCAGGCCACCATCTCCCAATCAAGACCGAGAGGAGAGGGGACCCCAGAAGGATCTTCACTTCCATCTAAGCTCCAGACCAGGCTGGCTGCCCCAAAAAACTTCTGCCCCCAATTTCTGTTCCCACCCAGGATCGATGTTTGGCCCCAGCGTGGAATTCCTATCGGTGCTGCAGCCCATCTTTGCCCGTGAGAAGGAGCCCTTCTCCCTGTCCTGCTTGTTTTCAGAAGATGTGCTAGACGCCGAGAACATCCAGTGGTTCCGAGATGGTGAGGCTCTCAGTCCCGACCCCCGGCCTTCAGAGGCAGCCCCCTCCGTGGCTCAACCCAGAGCCAGAGTCCAGAAACAGAGAGGGACTAGAGCCCTGGCTTCCTCCCCAGCCCTGGGACCCCTAGAGCTGCAGGGGCTGAAGAGGTAGAGGAAAGCAGGACCACGCCACCCTACAAAGACTCTCCAGGCATCAGTGGGGTGCCCAGCCCTGTGCTGGGGCCGAGCAGAGGAAAGGCACAGACTGGAGTAAACCCAAGGAGCTGTCTGTCTGGGAGGAGGAAGGAGACCATCAACATGGTTGCAGCCACTGCTTGAGAGCCCGCCTAATCAGGCACTGGCCCACGCCCTATGAGCACCATCACCACGCAGGAGCGGGTGATAGCACTTGAGGTTTTGGGAACAGAGGCCAAGACCAGAAGGCAGGACAGCACCGCGGGTGCTCAGGGCAGGTTGTGATGGCCAACTTGGGCTTTTCAGAGGCAGGATAAGCGTGCTGACTGGTGGGCCAAGAGATCCCTGGGGATGTCGCTGGCAAGGGCAGGAGAAGGCTGGTCAGCCAAGGTGGGATGAGAGGGCCAGCGAGGGAGGAGGACAACTGGACCTCCCACCTCCTCCATACCCTGCCTGCAGCCAGAGGGCCAGGAGTAGAGCACCCCTCCTCACCCCAGTTCTGAGCCCAGGGAGGCCACCCCTGATGGGGCAGGGGACAGAGGAGCATGGAAGCCGTAGGATCCCCGAGAAATGGGCATTGAAAAGGCTGAGATGTTTTGCCAAACCTGCCAATCTTCCAGAATAGAGGTGTTGGCCAGAGGAAGGAGGCTTTGTGTGGGACAAAGGAGGGGAGGGGATGGCCCAGCAGTGTGTCCTCAGGGCAGGGCCCGCTCCCTGGCCTCAGACTCCAAATCCCCATTCCCCTCACTAAATTCCCACCCAACAAGCCCCACTCTCTTCACTGACCTCAGCCCCCAACAAGCCCTCCACCCTCCCCAATGAGACCCCAAGTTTTCTCCATGAGACCCTTCCCCTTTACCGAGCTCCCACCCACCCAATGAGGCCCCCTTCCTTGAGACCCCTGGCCTCATACAGGGCCCCATCTCTCTTGCAGAACTCTCACTTCCTCACAGAACTCCTCACCTTGCCACCTAGCAACTGACCATGTCCCTAAACCTTCATTTCCTCAGTGAGTCCCAGCCTTCCTCCCACTGGCCCCACCCCCTCCCCAAGCCGGCTACTGCAGGGGAGAGTCCACTGCCACCTTGCCAAAGCCCGGCAAGCCACTCCTCCCAGCCCCTGAGCTGGCCCAGGCTGCAGCCACACCAGCACTCCCTCTGCTTAGCCATGGCTCCAGACTCCCAGAGCTTCTGTGGCTCCCAGTTAAGGCCAGCGCCCCCCTGAGAGCTCACGTTGGACCCTCCTTCCCCTCGGCAGGGAGGCTACTGAGGTCCTCACAACGCCGGCAGATCCTCTACGCAGACCGCCAGGCATCCATGAAGGTGTCCTGCGCCTACAAGGAGGATGAAGGGCTCTACACGGTCCAGGTGCCCTCGGCCTTTGGGCCCCGGGAGCAGAGCACCTATGTGCTTGTGAGAGGTGAGGGCGTGGGTGGGGACCACTGGAGCAGGAGACCAGGGCTCTCCCCCTGGTTTGCTGTGAGATCTTATCCAAAGCCCCTGCTCTCTTGGAGTCTGTTTCTTTGCCATAAAATCGGGGCATTGGGCTTTTCTCTCTAAGAATCCCTGTGACATCCTATGACCCTCCAAAAGGACACAGCCCAAGAATCAGACTGGCAGGGAGCCGGTGAGGGAGGGCTAAGTGTGGGGCCGGCGTAATTCCAGCCACTGGCTAAGTCTGCCTACTGGTCTAGGTGCCCAATCTGGGTTCAGGTTCTGGGTTTGTCACATCACTAGCTGGGTGACCTTGGGCAGGTCAGTCACTCACCTCTGTGAGACTCAGTGTCCTCATCTACAAAGCAGAGGACTGATCTGAAGCTCAGAGATTAATGATGCCAATTGTTTGGGTGTTTGGTGTAAAATGGGCCCCCAAGAAATGGTACTGTCACCCCCTCCCTCAGAGGCTGCTGTTGGGAGTGGGGAGGCTGTTACTCAGGCCCTGGTCCTCAAGGTCAAAACTGCACCCCTGGAGGAGGACTGAGAGAGGGATGCTAGGCAGGAGCGGGAGGGGGCTTTTTGCCAATGGCCACTGACTGAAAGAGCCTCCTCCCCTGTCTGGGTTTCAGATGCTGCCGCGGAGAACCCTGGGGCCCCCGGCTCCCCACTGAACGTCCGATGCCTGGATGTGAACAGAGACTGCCTCATCCTGACTTGGGCCCCACCCAGCGACACCCGGGGCAGTCCCATCACCGCCTACTCCATCGAGCAGTGAGTCATTTCTCGAGTGGCAGAGCCCTCGGGGTGGGATTCAGCCAGGATGTGGGGGCCACAGCAATGAGGAGGCCCCATGCCTGGCCTCAGAGAACACCCCTCCATCCCTGCTCCTCAGAACAGGGCAGGAGGGAGACGATGGTGTGTAATTTGGGGGCAACAGAGGGGCGCTCCAGCCTCCAAACCTCTGCCACGTGGATATCTGGAATTCTACAGTCAGCTGTTAACCTGTGGACCTTTATAGTATGAGCTGACCCGGAAGGGCAATCCAGGAAGTGCTAGAATCCTGAGCACATGTGACTTTGTGGGCTAATTTCCTCCCTGAATGACAGACAGATGGGATGGCACTGACCCCGGAGGGAGGAGGCACACTAGGAACAGAAGAACAGGCAGAGGGCCCGGAACCTCCTATCTCCTTCCCACGCGGTCGCCTCTAAAGCCCCTGCTCGAGAGAAGACCTGATCCTATCACTGATGGGCTCATGGACTGTGCTAAGGGCATGCTTCATCTCTTTTCATCCTTCCTGCAACCCCTACATAAAGGGAAGGAGATAATCTAATGCCGCATTCTACAGATGGGAAAACTGAAGGACATGGGGAGATACTTTACCCAAAGTCACATTTGTCATTGGTGTGGAAACAGGACTTGGACGTACACGTGACCACTGCCCCATCCAACTAGTACAGTAATGCAGGAAGCCCAGGCTTGGAGGGTCAATCTGGAATGAGCACTGACTTAGGGTGGGGACAACCCTCAGGTGAATCCTAACTACCACACACAAGCTGTGAGACCTTGGGCAAGGCCTCTCGCTGTCTGAGCCATGGCTCTCCCGTGTGCAAAGTGAAGGTGACCACATCCAACTCCTCGACTGTTGTGGAGGTGAAATGAGGGTGAGGTGGGCACAGCCCAGCCCAGGTTCACAGTGATGCTCCATGAAGGGCCCTGGCTGTTGTGCATCAGGGTTGAGGATGGTGAGAAGGCTTCCCAGGGCCTGAGGCTGGAGCCAGATTCTTCCTTTGGAGAGAAGAACTTTAATTGGCAGAGATGAGCTGGGAAGACAGTTGGCTTGGGGAATGGCCCTTGTAGAGGCTCACACTAGGGAGATGGGCATCGTGGGCAGGGGCTGAAAGAGGGCCTGTCTCCCAGGTGCCAGGGTGACTCCGGAGAGTGGGTGCCCTGCCATGAGGCCCCCGGAGGGACTTGTCGGTGCCCAATCCAAGGACTCGTCGAAGGCCAGAGCTATCGGTTTCGGGTGAGAGCCATCAACAGGGCAGGAAGCAGCCTTCCCTCCAAGGCCTCAGAAGTGATTGTCATGGGTGACAGTGATGCCATCCAGAGGAGGACAGGTGGGTACAGAGGCCCTAAGATCATCAATCAGGGTACCCTCAAGACTGTCTCACATGGGAGACAGCCCAGGCCTCAGGAACCCCTAAGTCCCATGGAGGAGACACAGGCTAGCCCTAATAAAAAATCTCTAGCATGATGCAGGAAACACAGCCCAGCCCTCAGGAACGCTAATCTGATGGAGGAGACATGGGCCTGTCCTTAGGAATCCCTTGTCTGAGGGGAAGTTGCAGCTAGTCTGATGGAAGAAACCAAACCTGTCCATGGGGAATATTCAACTGAGAGAGGACCATAGCACCTTCTTCGGATATCCTTACACTCAGGAAGGAAAACACCCCAGCTCTCAAGAGCCCCAGCTCAGGAGGAACATGTGGGGACTCAGCCCTCTCAGTTCTTGGGAGTCAGGCTGACTTGGGTTTGCCCAAAGCCCTGCCATGCCAGGGCACCCAGCCCCAGGCACATCACTCCTCCTCTCTGTCCCCACTTGTTCCAAGAGGCAGAGGATCTCTCAGGCCTGAGAGCAGCAGTGCTCCACTTTGGATTCCTGAGAAACTGAGGCCAGAGAGCACCTGCCTGAGGTCACACAGCAAGGGCCACAAGGCCAAGGCCGGGACAAGAACAGGATTCAGAACCTGGAGTGGGGCAGGATCTGGCCTGACTCCTCCTGCTCCAGCTCCCCATGTTTTGTCTCATCCTAGAGATCCCCTTTGACCTGGGAAAAAAGATTACGATCAGCACGGATGATTTTGAAGGTATGCAGGACCCTTCCAAACACTTGGCCTGAAGACGCCAGCCTCTTGCGCCAGTCCTGGAAACTCTACAACCACAAGCTGTCCATGTGTGGGGTGCAGGAGCTGAGGGTGGTTACGGCCCAGTCAAAGGTGGCCAGGGCACTCGGAATCACTGTGGTCCATCTGCCTGTGGCCCTCGTGGAAGAGGGAACGTGCTGGGAAAAGTCCTGGGTGGGGCAATGGAAGACCTGGGCTCTGGCCCTGCCTTTGCTGGGTGACATGGAGCAAATTCCAGCCCCTCTCTGGGTTATTTCCTCCATGGAATGAGGGACTGGGATTAGGGGTCTCTGAGGGCCCACCCATCTCTGACTCTGATTCCAGACGCGATGATCATTCCCTCACCCCCGACCAATGTCCATGCCAGCGAGATCCGAGAGGCCTATGCGGTTCTGGCCTGGGAGGAGCCGAGCCCCCGGGGCAAGGCCCCGCTGACATACTCCCTGGAGAAGGTACGAGACCCTAAGGGTCCAGCCCCAGTCTAGTCTGAGAAATAGATACACTGTGGATTGTGGGGAAGTGCAGGGATGAACTGAGAGACCTCCTCTGTAGGGAGGCCTTCAGAGAATAGAAGAGAATCCCTGCCTGGAAGGGCCAGAGCATGGCCGTACACAGAGACAGGAAGACAAATTGAATAGCTTCTCGAGGTTACTTCCAGCCCTGAGAGGCCAGTTGCTGGTGACAGTTCCTGAGACTTTTCATGGAAATACACAAAATCACCAGGCACAGATAACAACAGCAGAAAGGTCCACCACTTCCTGAGTACCTTCCTGCCCCAAGTCAGCTGGCGTTGGGTCACACATGGGGGCAAGTGCCTCTTCTTGGCAGGGCCATGTCGGGAGGGATGCTACGTTGGTACCCTCCAAGTTGTGGTACCAGCTGTCTTTCTCCTTGCAACCTACCACTAGCTTCCTTGCAGGGTTATTGTGAGAATTCATCCATTTAGGCTGGGCGTGGTGGCTCACATCTGTAATCCCAGCACTTTGAGAGGCGGAGGCAAGGTGATTGCCTGAGTCCAGGGGTTCGAGATCAGTCTAGGCAACTAGGCAAAGCCTCGTCTCTACAATCATTTTTTTTTTTTTTTGAGTTGGAGTCTCACTCTGTCACCCAGACTGGGGTGCAGTGGCCGTTCCCAGCCACCGCAGCCTCGACCTGCTGGGCTCCGCAATCCTTCTGCCTCAGCCTTCTGAGTAGCCGGAATTACAGGCGCACGCTACCACGCCCGGCTAATTTTTTTATTTATTGTAGAGATGAGGTCTCGCCTGCCCAGGCGGGTCTCGAACCCGCGGGCTCAGGCAATCCACTCTCCTCAGTCTCCCAAAGGCGCGGGATTACAGCCTGAGACACCGAGCCCGGCTAAATTTTTTTTTTTAAGTCAATATTTTTTATTATGATATTGTGGGGTATAGTTAAGGGTTAGGTATACAAATAGATTCATTCAGGCCCCCTTGTTGATAACAGGTGTCTCCCCATCCCCAGACAGATGTTTACTACCATTAGTCCCATCCCCCTCCCCTCTTTACAATAAATTTTTTTAAAAAATTTAGCTGGGCATGGTGGCACGAGCCTGTAGTTTTAGCTACTTGGAAGGTTGAGGAGAAGGATCGCCTTAACCTAACAGGTTGAGGCTACGAGACAGAAGAGACTGGGCGACAGAGGAGACATCAACTTAAAAAAAAATCATCTATTTATTTAGTTATCCCAGAAACATAGAGGAGTACCTCCCTTGTGCCAATACTGTTCTTGGCCCTGGGGACACAACAGCAGGAGAGGGGTACTGATGATAAATGAGTAAAATATTAAGCACAGTAGCTAGTGGTGACCACCAAGGAGAAACATCAAGCAGGGAGTGGAATCTGAAGTAAGGGTGGTGCCAACATTTTCACTGGAGTGACCTGGAGGGCCTCCTCAAGAAGGTGAGTCTTGAATAAAGGCCTATAAGTGCCAGCCAAGAGATTTCTGGGGGAAGAACGTTCCAGGCAGAGGAACCAGCAAGTGCAAAGGCCCAGAGATGAGATTGGGCCATGGGGGTATGAAGAGGGACAGCAGAGAGGCACAGAGACAGAGGGGAGTGGAGTCTGGCCTGACAGGCACTAGGGGTCAGGTCAGGGGAAGGTTTTTGCTCTGAGGGAGATGTGGGGCTTCGAGGGTTCTGAGCAGACAGAAACCTGACCTGGCTTGTGTGTAAAAGGATCCTTCTGATGGCCATTTGATAAAAGATGAAGAAGGGGCTAGAGATAGAAACAGGGAGCCCAGTCAAGAGGCCACTCAGATATCTCAGGCGAGAAGTGCCAGTTGGGGGAGCACAGGGCCATATGTTGTGACTGGGTTCTGCATAAGTTTTGAAGGGAGAGTCAAGTGGGTTTGTTGATGGAGCATATCTGGGGAGTCGGGGAAAGAGCCAAAATGGCTCCAGGGGTTTTAGCCAAGACACAGAAGAGATGGGAACCATCAGTGCAATGTGGGCAGCTCAGGTGTCCAGGACACTTTGAAGTCCTATATGTGCTGAATGTCGGGTCTTTGTAGGCATCCAGGTGGAGGTGTCAAGGAGGCAGAGGAAGCAGAGTCTAGGTCCTCAGAAGCAGCCTGAACTAAGGACAGAAGCTCATGAGAGTGTGTGGGACTTGCCCAGCACAGAAATGTCTCCATGAACACCTAGCCAACGCGAGTTCCTTCTTTTCTTCAGTCAGTCATAGGCAGTGGCACCTGGGAGGCCATCAGCTTGGAAAACCCTGTGAGGTCCCCGAGATACGCCCTCCTGGATCTGGAGAAAGGGAAGTCGTATGTCTTCAGAGTGCGAGCAATGAATCAATATGGCCTGAGCGACCCCTCGGAACCCAGCGAGCCCATCGCCTTGAGGGGCAAGCCAGGTACCCGTGTGGTGAGGGGAGGGACCAAGAAGCAGGCTGGGCTATTGGTCCTCAGGGCTCAGGACCCAAGGCTGCAGGGAGGGCGCCTTGCCCACTCTCCTATCCCTGTCCGCTTCTACCTGTCATGAAGCTGAAAAGCAACATGACCTCAGGCCTAGAAAGTTTTGGGACATCAGAAATCACATTTCTCTGGGTAGGAGTCTCATGGAGAGATAGACAGTTTTTCCAGATTAACAACCCACAGGTTACAGAGTCCAGGTGGGTCCAGCTCAGGAGCCGAGTGTGAGCAGGTGGTCCCTTGGTTCTGAAGGTCTCTGGCCACCCCCTAGACCCTGCGTGTGCGGCCAGGAATGAGCCGTCCAAGCTGGTTTCTGCTTCCTCCCCAGTGGGAGTTGAGCTGTCCCACTTCACCAGGCAGGACACTACTCATCTGCAGCACAGCAGAAGCCTGAGCAAGTCACTTCCAAGCTGTATATCTTGCTGTCCCCACCTGCTGTTGTTCTGAAGACCCTGGTTGCTGTTCCCACCTCCGGCTCCCCACTGTCTCCCAGCTGCAGTTCCACCCTGGCCCCAGTTTCCTTTTCTGAATTGTCTCAGTTCCAGGATTCTTTGTTCTTTGATCAAATCAGTTCAGAAGGTTCCCTGCTACTGCCAACACTTGCGGGTCCTCTAAGGAAACTTGCTACAGTGCCACCCATCAAGAAAATTGGTCTGCTGCAGGTCCCATTTGGTGAAGATTTCAAAATCCTACATTTGCTCTGCTTCAATAATTTAGGGGAATACACACACACATACATACACACACACACACACAGTCATGGCAAATATGAACAGGTTGGAGCCGGGCTCCGTGGCTCAGCTTGTAATCCCACGCCTTTGGGAGGCTGAGGTGAGTGGATTGCCTGAGCCCACGGGTTTGAGACCCGCCTGGGCAGGCGAGACCTCATCTCTACAATAAATCAAAAAAATTAGCCGGGCGTGGTAGCGTGTGCCTGTAGTTCCAGCTACTTGGAAGGCTGAGGCGGAAGGATCGCCAGAGCCCTGCAAGTCGAGGCTGCAATGGCTGGGAGCAGCCACTGCACTCTAGTCTGGGCGATGGAGTGAGACTCCAACTCAAAAAAAAAAAAAAAAAAATGAATAGATTGGTAAGGAAGTGGAGTTTTTCTTTAATTCCGGTCTGGTTACATTTGGTTTTGATTTGGGGCATGGCCAGTGAGTGGTTTGTCATTGGATGTGGACTGTCTCTGGACCATAAGCCATATTTAAGTCAAGGCTCTGGTGCAATTCAGAAAAGAAAGGGAAGACAGGACTAGAGGTGAAACCTGCAGAAAAGGTTGAAGGCTTTGGATAGAAGGGACTTTCAAGAATAAGAGAAGAGAAGAAAACTGGAGCATGCCAAGGAATACAAGCTTGGAGGGCTCCCTTCTTGAGGACAAAAGGAAACTGGAGAGACTCCAAAGCATGTGTAATTAGTTTGAGAAGTGGCGAGAGAACTAAGAAGATCATACACTTGCCACCCATCCATTCGTCCATCCATTCATCTATTCACTCATTCTGCCATCCATCCATTCATCCACGCATCCATCTGTCGTCCATCTACCCATTTATCTATCTGTCCATGCATCCATTTATTCATCCACGTATCTATCTATCCATCAGTCCACTCATCCATTCATCCATTCATCTATCCATCCATCCATCCACTCATCCATTTGTCTATCCATCCATCCATCCATCCATCCATCCATCCATCCATCCATCCATCCATCCATCCATTTACCCACCCATCCATCTGTTTATGCATTCATTTATTCATCCATGCATCCATCTATCCATCAGTTCATTCATCCATCATCCATCCACCTATTCATCCGTTCATCTATTCATCTGTCCATCCATCCATCTATCCATCCATTCATCCATTCATTCATCCATCCAACCAACCATCCATCTATCCATTTAACAAACCATGGCCACCCCTAACTCAAGGAACCCAGTCTCATGGAGCCATGAAAATCAGTAGAGACGTTTCAAGGAAAGAAAATCAAATCTTCTTGAGACTGGAGATAAGAACTGAGGAACGCTATCAGATTTGGTGAATTTTGAGTGAGAGAGTGTAAGGATGAATGAGTGAGGGCTTTAGTGCTTCAGTGAGGGGGCAGAGGCACTCAGAAGTAAGAGGAGAGAGGACTTTTGGGATACAAGAGTCTGGGGCACACTTCTGAACCTGGGAAAGAGCTGGCCAAAGCCCTGGGCATGTCAGGAATTCATGCACCACCCATGATGAATGTGGGTGCTCCTTCTGGTCATGCTCCAAGCTCCTTCTCTTCCCCAGCCTATCAGAGCCACGTAACTCAGCATTCTCACTCAGCTCATGTTTCTGTTTCTGTTTTTTAGCTACCCTCCCCCCTCCAGCTCAAGTTCAGGTTTTCCGAGACACACAGACCTCTGTCTCCCTGACTTGGGATCCTGTGAAAGGTGCCCCAGAGCTCCTGGGTTATTACATCTACTCCCGGGAGGCGGGATCATCTGAGTGGCAAACAGTCAACAACAAGCCCATCCAGGGCACCAAGTAAGTCTGCCCACCCTCCCTGTACCGGGGTATCTTCGAAGGGTGGCCATGATAATAATGAATCCCAGCATTTCACAGTAGTTTCCCTTTGCTGGGTACTTTTCTAAGCATTTTTCATACATTAGGTTATCTAATTCTACCTCACATCTTATATATTTAGGACTATTATTTGCTTATAATCTTACAGATGAAGAAACTGGAGCACAGAGAGGTTAAGTAATTTGCCAACACTCCCATGGCTAGGAAGTGGGGGAAATGGGATTTGAATCCAGATGGTCTCTTTCAACAAACCTTGGCCGAGGATGTGCTGTTTACAGGACTCTGTGGGTAGAGGTGACTGTGACTAGGTCTCATCCCTCCAGGAGATTAGAGACAGAGAAAGGCAGGAGGTGCAGAGCAGCGGGGGGCTTTGGAACCAGGGAGGCCTAGGTCCAGGCTCCACATTCAGCCCTTAGCATCAGGTGCCCTGCACAGTCAGAGCCTTGATTCCCTCCTCTGTAAACTGGGAGGATGGAGCCACATACCTGGCCTCTCGGCTTTCGACTCCTACTCACTCTGAGCGCCCTCCTCACTCCGTGGCTCTCAAAGACCCTCGTCCTTGCAGGCACAGTGAGTTGCAGGACTTCTGTGCTCATGACTTCTCTCAATATCTGGGCTTTGTGGGGTAGGGGGCTTAGGTGATGATACCCCCCTTCCCTTTCCATCAGACAACTGGGCAGTCCCTGAGCACACCTGGCTGGGCTCCCTCACCCTGGGCCTCAAGCTCCAAGGTCATCTTGCCCCGAAAAAGGGACTGGCCCTGTGCCCACTTGTCTTTGGTGCCTTAGTCAGATGTAAGGCATCACTTGTAATTTGTGATTGGTAACAGATGGAGCTGTCAAGGGGGAGAATAATCAGGTTTTTGACAAATTAGTTCAGAGTCAAGGTTATTCCAAGAGTAAGACACCCTCCCCCACTTGTACTCAAGTGTGCTTCCTGAGAGGGCGAGCAGGGTTGAGGGAGAGTCGGCATGAACAGAGTGGCATGGCCAGGGAGAGTGTCACACAGAGGGATGACATGCTGTCTGTTACATGTCATGGCTGGAAAGAGGCTAAACCCTGCTGCCCAGGAGCTGGAGCCTGGGGTGATGGTGTAAAGGGAGCTCAGTTGGGCTGTAGTGGTCCAGTTCACTGCTGAACTGCTGGGCCCCACAGAGGCTGGTTCACAATATGTATGAATGAATGAAT